GCATGCTTAAATCAGGCTTGTCGTTTCTAAATGCGGCTTTAAAATCAGACTGCCGTGCACCATAGGGCCCCCCCCCACCCATCCAAGCTGCCTATCGTGTTCACCTGGACACGCACAGGGAGGAGGCTCCTGATGGGTTTCGGAGCCCTCTCCTCGGTCTACCTTCTTGGCCTGTACTCATAAAAGGGTACAATCGGTGCACCCACACAGTCCTGATATTACATCATATGACCAAAAAAAAGTTAAACCTTTTGTGTTGCAAGTTGAGGCTTTCCTACCCTGCAACTTTCATGCAAGGGGCTGCTGCGGCTATTGCTGCCCGCTGCCAAAAGCAACTCTAGCTTCCTTGAGTTGCGTAAAGACCAAATCAGAACGGATTATTCTGTTTCTGGCCAAAACACTGCCACGAAGGCAAGAGTAATTCAATTCCTCGCCGTGTTTGAGGTAGCAATATAACACACATTAACACGTTTCTAATCTTTTATCTTTTCTGAAATTTTATTTTAAGAAAATAATAATTAAAATTATAAGTGCTTCTGAAATGCTCAATTTTACCAACACTTACAATGCTGCCTCATCGAGCCAGATTCAAACGAATTTAACGACTCTTTGAAAGCAAATAGTTGCCATCCAACAAGAGCCTGTGTGTCAATTTCCATTCGACTCTCGGGTTTTCTCGGTAGGAAGACGCAAACACCTTGCTCACACAGAGGTTTAAAATATTAACAAAGCATGACAGGCCCCACGGAATGCAACCAACGATTTGGCACCATGCATCCCAGTCGCCAACGCTCCCATGCGGCAGGTTTAGCAAAACGGAAACGAACGAACAGCGAAAATCAGAATGTAAAAAAAAAATGTATTTACAGCTGCATCTTTGCCAAAATTCTACCGCCATGGAAACGTGAGCACCACAATTTAACGTTGCAGGGGTGGGTGATGCGTGCCACGTCTGTTCAAGTCTCGATGTTTTTCCGCGGTTGTGGTAGTGGTGCTTCGTTTAGCTCAGCTGGAGGTGACGAGGCTGGAGCACACCGGTGCGCGGGAGCCAGATAAGATTGGGGGCCTCGTGTGCCACTTGGAAGGTTCGCAGAAACCGTGAGGATCTTGCCGAACGCCCAACGCCGGCCAGAGCCGTCATGGCTCCGAACCCCGCGACGGCCATCAGCGTGTTTTTGAGCATGCTGTCGGGCGGTCTCCCGCTCAAACTCCGCACGAACCATCCTGCACCGGAGGAACACAAGCGCATCCACGTCATTACAAGGTTTCGTGCATGTACACACACACAGCATCGATCCTGAAAACAGCGGTGGCATAGCTATCGAATGTACAGGCGGTGCAACTGGGCGCTCAAGAGCCAGAGGGGCCCAGCTGCCGAGTTACAAAAGAGGGGAAATTTTCTCTCCAATGATGTTTTCACAAACTTAATGCAGGTCTTGGAGCAAAATGTTGGCCCACCAAAAAATAATGCAAGGGCCATACAGCATAACAGGAAAAACACACACTCGTGGGGAATTGGCAGAGGGGGCCAGTCACATTTCATTTCTTACACCAGGGCCCACGCCAAGCACACTACGATTCAGACTTAAATGTGTGACGGGGCTTTGTCCACTGGCCTTATGCGCACATGCACGTATGGACGCAAACACGCGAGATTACAAAAACACAGCTCTTTCATGTTTTATACAAAGATCCGTGAGGGAGGGGGGTTGTGGTGGGGGGTGGCGGAAAGCCAGAAGAGGAAGCTGCAGAGAGGCGGGTGTGGGGCGGGGTGGAGGAGCTCATGATCAATAGCGGGCTTTACGCACCCACACATTTGGAAAAATAAATCTTTCCTGCCACGTCACAAACATTCCCCTTACAATTGACGAAACAAAAAACCCCAATTCTGTCTCCCACCAGTGCCCCAGCCAGATGGGAATGGGCCCAATAGCTCGCCACAACAACATGCAAAGGTATACTGCTAACAAACAGCAGGAAGGCACGTCTCCCATGTCTTGCATGCGTGTCGTGACGACATTGCGAGTACTTTCAATGCTCTCAGCCCTATCTAGATCACCAGCTCAATGTAAAAAGGGCCCAACATGTGCCTGTAGTATTGTTCAGACCAACTCAACTGTGGCCATCCCATAAGGCTGAGCAGTGAAGTGCCTGGAGCAGCTGTGAGATGTTTGGTCCGAGCCACTACCCATCAAAACCTTTATTTTCAAACAATGCAGTCGTCGTCAGCAGAGCTGAACTTTTCCAGCAATAAGGTTTTGTTACTCTCTCGCATTGCGAACGAAAGCCAATGAATGAAGGCCACAAGCGAGTGGCAATCTAATTCCGGGGCGTCAGCGGCTCTTTAAAATGCTAAAAGTCCATATCTCGTTTTGCATGTGCGCACGCAATCCGAGTCCAATGCCAACAGTTCTGTTTACGCAACGGCCGGCGGGTAGCTGGGGATGACTGGCGAGCGTGTTGCTGCACAGGGAGCGCAGCGTCTGCCTCCGCTGTTGAGAAAAAATACAAGCAGTGTCCACCAACACGCCACGATGGCGAGGAGATGTAACTACCTCGCCTGGTATACAGGAGTCGTGGGTTTCGATCCCGACCCCAACACCCAAGAGGTCGCAAACGGGTTTTGATTCCTTACCCGTACCCGGCCGCACCAGGGTCGCAAACGGCTACCCGTACCCAGCCGGGTACGGGTACCGGGTATCGGGTAGGGTACGGGTATCGGGTACCCGATTGCGACCTCTGGGATGAAGCCATGTTGCAGTCGCTGTGGGTTGATTTCTAGGAACTTGAATTGTGAGAAGAGACAAGACGTTGGGAAATGAGTGACAAACGGTGACTCACCAGTGACTCACGGCCTACCCGTACCCGGCCGCACCAGGGTTGCAAACGGGTACCCGTACCCGGCTGGGTACGGGTAGCCGGGTACGGGTAGCTGGGTATCCGATTGCGACCTCTGCCAACACCTGTCCCCCTCCGGTTTTTCCCTCCACAAATGTCCACATAAGCCACTTCAATGGGCTATCACATGTGGCTCAGTCTCTTCAGAAAAAGAGCTATATAGCTCAGTTGGCCTTGCCATGTCCAATAAAAAAATATTCATATATTAAATAAGGAAATGTTTACAGTTTCGTAGAGAGATTGTATTTAAATGTTAAAGAGGACGAGGCCCGCACAAGCCATAACCAAATCGCGGAATGCACCTGATCTTGTTAGCCCTCAAAGCCAAGCAAGCTGGACATTGGCATTGTTTGCAAGCTTGTTTGTAATACATGGGCTGCGTGGGGTATGCAGCACAAAAAGACCAATTATTGTACTTGTATGCGTCCACATCTCGACTCCCTGCTTTTACCAATTCGCACTGGCCAGGCGTGGCAAAGTATGAATGTGGCGGCTCTCATCCAGCAGTGGATTGATAAAACGGCGCTGTAGATCCGTACGAGGCTCACAGAGACCAACAAATACTCAGTTTGAAAGCCCTAAAAAAAAGCTACCGCGGCGGAAGTTTTAGTTCCACAATTTACGCCTCTATAAAGGAGGCATTTGCACTGTTTCGTTTGACATCACAGCATTTTTGCCCACACACGTACACACACACACCAGGGGCCGCACCTTATTTGCTCAGTGGTTTTGAGTTCCCAGAAATGGTTGTTGAGGGGGGTCCACGAAACATGACAGTCACATTTTCCTAGGGGTTTCTGATTTCCACGTTTTGCTTCGCAGTCTTCCGTTGGTGAGGCAAATGCCTCCCCAGCCCCCCCTTAAGAGTTGAGAGATAACGCGTGGCTCGCTCGCTTGCTTGATTGTTGGCAAGATTCGTGTTGAAATTTTTCTCAGGTAAGAAAAATCCCCCGCTGTAAAGTCTAGAAAACGGCAGCTACCCCCCTGCACGAATATTTCCATTGTTCAGTGTCCCAGCTATCGCTCACGTTACAGTGCAAATAAAGATCCTTTGTTGTTGAACCGAGTAAGAACCAGGTAGTCTATTTTTGTCACAATGGGCCCCCTTACGACTCAGAGAATGACCATATAACTCTTAAAAAGCAAGAACCTCGTGCAAATGAGTTGAGACTCGGAGACTTAATCCAGGTTATAAAGCAGGCAATTATGAGACTCAAAAGTGAATGTGTACCGTCTGAAATATGAAGTGCTGTTTTACAAGCCCAAGATTATCATCAAGTGGATGCAGAAATTACCGACAATTTTAAGTACCCAATTTAGGACGTGGATAATTAGACACGTGGTCAATGCGTCGTTTCTCTAATAAATACATTTTGAATGCGATGACTAATTTGGATAATAAAACCCGTTGTACAATTATGGTAATGTTAATTATTAACGTTGAAAAACGCCACGTCTCTCTGGGTCTTATGCAGTAAAGGCGACTACTTCTGCAGGTCTCTGCTCCTCGTAAACTCAAACCCGCAGCTGTTTAAAGGGCTGCTACACTTTGCTATTGAAACTGACTGCAGAAATCGGTACAGAATGTTTTTACACATTGGACTGCTTTAAACAAATTCGTCTCGAAAACATGGACGCTGCTGAAGAGCCGATAGGCAATGGAGCGAAAATATGCAGATGGTAATGCAGATGGTATGAAAACAGGGCGAATGCTGTCAGAGAGGATACGTGTCTCTCCCGATTTACAAAACACACAAGCTGCCCCTGGAGGTCGCTCACCACTCTACAGAAGCGTCAAGGTGTCGCCGCCGACATTTTTCAGCAACTTGGAAAACTCAAATAGAAACCCAAATAAATTGCCCTTCCGTCTCGCGTTGTAAAAAAAACCCGTCTGAACACATCACCGTCTTAATCGCCACGAAAATCACAATTTCTACCATCTCCACCACCACTACGATCAGTGTCCACCACCAATCAATCACAACGAAGTCGCACATCACACCATCACCTTCACCACCACCATCACCACCACTACTACGATCAGTGTCCACCACCAATCAATCACAACCACGTCGCATATCACCTTCTCCACCACCATCACCAACGATCAGTATCCATCACCAATCAATCACAACCAAGTCGCACATCTCCACCGCCGACCGCGTCGTGTCTCGACCAAGTGCGTGGCTCACCCAGCCTCCCTGCTGCACGAACCAGGCCCTCCGCGAGGACACCAGGAAGGCGGCCACCTCGTCCGCCACGGCCCTCGCCTCGGCGTCGCTCAGCCGCCCGCTGGCTTTCAGCCTCTTGACGAGCAGCGCGCAGAACACCACCAGCGCGACCACGCGGCCCCAGTTCATGTGCCCGTCGGAGAACATCTCCCGGGCGACGCCGAGCGCCGAGCCGCGCAGCTCCTCGGAGTCCGTCTGGGCCTCCACGCGGCTCACCATGCCCGAGATGGCGGCGCGGTGTTGCTCCAGGAGCGAGTCTCCCATACTTTTGAGAAGCTTTGAAGCGGCAGAAAGTTGCTGCTGCTGCTGCTGGTGGTGGGGCGGCTGTTCCGTCGGCGTTAGATGGGCCATGTAGTCCGAGATGAAATCCGCGGTCTCCACGGCCAGCCGGTCGACGTCGAAGCGCCTCGCTCCGCCACTCCGCGTTGCCTGAATGGCCGCCGCGGAATGCGAGACGGAGTCGGCGGAGGTGGCAGGCGTCGTGGGTGGCGGCGCGCCGCAGGCCTCGTCAATGGCGGGTGCTGTTGCCGTGTCGTTGTCGCGGGGCGAAGGAGAATTGGGAGGCGACCCCGCGCCCTGTTGCTGTTGTTGTAACCTGTCGGCGGCGAAGATCCCTGCGTGAGTTCCGTCGGCCACCATGGTTGCGTGCGAGCGAAGTAGCTTGGCAGGTTGTTGGTGTGTCGATGGAGGTGAGCGGTGAGACTGCGGCTGTGGGCGGTGTTTGGAAGCGCGGTCGTCGGTTTTGTGGCCCAGCACGGACTGGGGGCGGGGCGGGCGGGCAGAGGCCACGCCCCCAACTTCCTCCCCCTCTCTCCCTCGGTCAAGTGGTGGGATTTTTCTTGTCTGATAGGTTTCTAAAATAATCCAAGTGAAAGATCTGCTGTGTGAATAATAACGCACGGGGTTTTTTTTTGTTTGCTACCAACGTTGGAAAGTGTGGCTTTATGAAGGTCCCCGTGTTGGAAGCGAGTTTACAGTGTGTTTCGTTTTCGTTGGGCCGGTTATGTAATCCGGGTTTCCAGAATCTTCTTTTATGGTGGAATTAATATTGAGTATGGTAAAGTAAAATATCGTGAGAGTTACCCTCGGTGTGTGGAGGGGTTCATCTAGCAGTTGATAGCACATGGCTGGTGACGTTGATGTTTTCAGTAAAAGTGCTTTGCCAAAAAATAGTTCTTTATATTTAAGGAACTTTAGTGAGTTAGAGACAGCATTGTGATGATGAGATACATCATCAGCCATGATCTATCCACTGTACGGTTGGGCCTGCATGTTAGAGCACGTGGATGTGATACTATCCGGGTAATACCAGGTGTTACAGACAAGGGGGTACGAGCTTAATCCATTTTCCGAGGTTTTGTTTCTGACCTTCCGCGCTGGTGTGTATACGTGGTGGGGTTTATCCGGGTTCATCCCTGGTAGCCTCTACCACGAAGCGAAACTGGTTTAATTCAGTCAGGCAAAATATCGCAATGGTAGCAGGGCTATCATTCAAAGAAAACCTTGAAACTCGGGATGGCTTAACATGTTTATCCCATCAGCAGCATCCTCGGTGCCCGATTGTGTCAAAATAGATGCCGTTTTGTTTGCTGGAATTGTCCCCGCTTTCAAGAAAAAAAACTAATCGGAACAATATTGACACACAGTTCGTCATAACATTTCTGCGAATTTAATTAAATTCTCGGTTTAATTCCAGTGGAAAATAACCCCATTTCAGATGCGTTTCGCAACCGGAATCGGAGACTTTCCCAACACTCTAAACTACCGTCAATGCAATTCGGACCCCTATGAACCGAATCACCCTGAATGCACCCGAACTTTCCCTGTCAGAGCTCAAAAGCTAAGCAGGGTCTCAGCGTAGATATTCCTTGTGTGGTGGAAAAGCATGCATGACAAAACCCTTGTAGACTGCTGGCAGAGCTTCAATGGCAGCAGCGAGTGGGAAGTACAGCAACATCCAATGTTGTTGTCACGCGATATGTGCTCACATCGAAAGCCTTGATAATTTGTTTTTTACCCTTTTATCTGGCAACAAAACTGACACCTTTTTTGCAAGGAGTCATGTTTGCATAGACCACAATACCTGGCAGTCATAATGCAAACAAAAACATAACTCTGATAATGTATGCAATGTCCTTAAAGTTGATGAATCAACTTTAAGGACAGTGCATACATTATCAGAGTTATGTTTTTTGTTTGCATTATGACTGCAGGTATTGTGGTCTATGCAAATATGACTCCTTGTAAAAAAAAGGTGTCAGTTTTGTTGCCAGATAAAAGGGTAATAAACCAATTATCATATTTTTTTACTGGCAAATGAGGTTCCAATGGTGTCGATAGCCTTCTTACCTTACACCAGCCCGGACTGACCATATTGGTGAAGTATGATCAGACAACCCCCACTACCAGCACAACGGCGTCGGGAGGCACTCATCCAACAGTGGAGGGATAAAACAGCTGCACATGGTGTACATACTTGAGGAGGGCTTCATCCAGCAGTGGGTTGAACATAGCTGCTGGTTATTTATTATGATTATAACATTGCTTTGCATTTTCAATAAAGTAACATGATAAAGCAAGCTTGTAATGGTAAACACGGTTCATTGCATCACATGATTTAATGGTCTAGGAACGCTTGAACTGTGGAGTTTTAGACTTTTGGAGATAACGCAGAGTTTATCTGTCTTTTCGAAATTCCATTCATGAGCCCGAAAACATCAACAAGAAGAGTAAACTTACCCCGACTGCAAAAACAAAAACACATCTCATAGCAAGCATAACAGCAATTCTCGTGTTTAGACAAAATAGAATAGTAATGCAAACGGAATCTAGAATATTTTTAAAGCATAGTTATTTAAGATAACATACTCGTATTCATAAAACTATTTTAACACGTACGATAGTCATCGTTCACATTTTAAAAAAAATGTACTGCTCATTGTCAATCTACTGTGGGATAAAGGGTCCAGCCAGCTATGGCGTGTCAGTCGTGGGGGTTGTTTGACCATACTTCACCACGCTGGTCAGTGTGGGTTAGTGAAGATGTGGGGGGCTGGTTCAGATGTCACTGAATGTAATCGCTATTGACGGTAGCAGAAGTAGGCAAAAATGGGTCCATTGTTGAAATTCGTATTAAAATATTACTTCCGTAAAGGAAAAATTCCCAGAGTAATTCTGTTGGTAATGCTGCTGCATGGTGCGTGAGAACATTTACAACAACAAAGACTCAACACATTCTTCAACAACCCTGAGTCCTTAAGAAACATAATCAGTGACGTTTCATGGGCATGTTGAAAGTCCGTTGCCTGAAACGTCCCCTTTTATATATCTTCCATTTTAAAGCCGCACTGTTGTTGATGAGTAGGCTGTTTAGTTAATTCTGGATAACGCGGCTCAACCCACAGGCTGCATGATTCATGATTCATTTCCATTCTACTGGTGGCTCCACTACCACGCACCTTCCCTCCTTTCTCCATCCAAAATTTCCAGCCCAATGACGTCATATCTACACCTCGTCGGTTTTTGACCAGACTTCCCCCACGCTGGTGACTGTGCAGTGCTTAACAAGTAAACCCGTAAAAACAAAGTTTTTCACTCTAAATCCTTTATATGCGTGGCGGCTAGAGTCATCTCGTCCTCTGGCTTGAGATGGCTGCAATCTATGGGTCAGATGATTGTCTGCCAGTATTAAGCAATTGGTAATAAAAATTTTAATTTGTTTTCCCTAAACAGTGTAAAATTTTGGAAAAAAAATTTCACGAAAATTAATTGTCACACACAACGAGTCTGTGTGGAAAATGTCAGCTCGATTGGATCACGGGAAGTGGGTTAAAAAACGAGCGAAAGATTTGCACGGTCCTAAGCAAGCAAGCGAACTTAATATAAAGGATTTAAATATATTCGACTGTGGAGGACGCAGGGATCGATCCCGCGACCTTTGGCATGGGAAGCGAGGGCGCTACCAACTGCGCTACTCTGCCACGGCCTGTGGAGGGGTTACGCTCTGGGCTCCTATACTGTGACGTTCAGCCAAAGCCATGAATGAGTTCTATTTGAATAAATGTAAAATACATTTTTTTGCCTAAGAAGTGTAACATTTTTGAATTTTTTTTTCACGAACATTAATTGTCTGTCACAACGAGTCTGTGTGGAAAATGTCAGCTCGATTGGATCACGGGAAGTGGGTTAAAAAACGACCGAAAGATTTGCACGGTCGTAAGCAAGCAAGCACGCAAGCAAGCAAGCGAACTTAATATAAATGATTTAATAAGTATAACCCGTAAAAACAAAGTTTTTCACTATAAATCCTTTATATACATGGCGGCTAGAGTCCTCTCATCCTCTGGCTTGAGATGGCTGCCACCTATGGGTCAGATGAGTGTCTGCCAGTATTAAGCAATTGGTAATTAAATATTTAAAAAAATTTCCCTAAACAGTGTAAAATTTTTGAACAAAAATTTCACGAACATTAATTGTCTAGCACAACGAGTCTGTGTGCAAAATGTCAGCTCGATTGGATCACGGGAAGTGGGTTAAAAAACGACCGAAAGATTTGCACGGTCGTAGGCAAGCAAGCAAGCACGCAAGCACGCAAGCAAGCAAGCGAACTTAATATAAAGGATTTAAAAACCACCTGTGCCACCTCTCCCCCACCCTCTGGCACTTCTAGCAGTAGAGTAATTGAGCCACTTGCGTGTGGGGTTGGTGGAACACGTCGTAATGGTTACTCTAGTTCAGTGTTCTTCACTAATTTTCAGAGGTAATCCACACATTGGAAACGACTGGGTTTGACAGCACGATGGGGTCTTTTCACATTTGTGTATTTTCGGGGACCACACGTCAGGGCCCGCACGAAAGGCCACCAGGGGCTGCCAGATGAACTGCGGGCCTTCAATGAAGAACACTGCTCTACACTATGAGACATCTCCTTTACCAGTGGCAAAATATAGTAGTAGGTTTTTACCCTTTAAACTGGTACAAAAACTGACACCTTTATACAAGGCATCATGTTTGCAATAACCACAACACAAGCAGTCAAAATGCAAACAAAAATAAACAACTCTGAGAATGATAATGACAGTGCATATCATTATCATAATCAGAGTTGTTTATTTTTGTTTGCATTTTGACGGCTTGTGTTGTGGTTATTGCAAACATGATGCCTTGTATAAAGGTGTCAGTTTTTGTACCAGTTTAAAGGGTAAAACACTGCTCTAGTTGAACAATACTGACTGTGCCTGCTGCACATGGCAAGAACCTTGGGTTGACCATGGGCTTCGTCTCTCACTATTTTCCTGAACGCTTGTTTGGTGGCCTGCCTGGGTGAGGCATGTGACTACGAGCCGCAGCCATCGTGAGAGGTATCCTGAATGTGGCGTGCCGGGTGCGGTGCTATGTATAGGTTGATCATTCGCCCCACCACCTAAATAAATATCCTGTAGTGCGATTGCGCAATGTGTTTGCCTGGAAGCCATAAATGATGCAAGGGGTTGATATTTTACAGTGCAGTATCTGGGCAATGTTCAACATTATTGTGCTCTCGATAGTTCAGTCGCCAGTTGTTTATCATAAAGTTATATTAGAGTTAGATCGCGTTCATATAAATGTGCCGTTGACCCACCACCAGACACAGCCACATCGTAAGGTGTGTCACGTTAGCAAAACGTGCCAATTAGTGACTACTTCAGCACACCGATGTGTTGGAGAGTAAACCCACAACATTTACAATCTGAGTATCGTGACGTTTCGCTGGGGATTACAACAACCAGCTTCATCAGGCGAGTTGCAGAATTGTGAAGAAGTCTTCCTATTTCCAGTCTTAAATAGGGGAGTAAAAGTGATGGTCATCACTGTGAGCCTATCAGGTGCGAAGATCAGAGGGGACTTTATGTAATAATATAAATTACGGTACAATGACTCCTATACTTACGAACGAGTTCGGTTCCAGACGGCTGTTCGTAAGTCGATTTGTTCGTAAGTCCTGTCGATTTCATGTACACTAAACACGGGGAATGGCTTTAAAAGTTGCATAATCTCCAGTAGATGCCACTTATTCTTTATGTTCTGCAGATGTAAATGGCACTGGTTCTTCATGTTCTGCAGATGTAGATGCCCTCTGGTTCTTCATGTGACATCTCCATGACATACGGACAGGTTTGTTCGTATCTCCGAAAGTTCGCAAGTGGAATGTTCGTAAGTTGAGGAGCCCCTATGAAGCCCAATGTATTACGTTAATCTGACGTCGCTCGCCATCTTAGTAAGGGCAACACGAATCGATCGGACTTATGCCACCGCCGCCATCTTGGTGAGGGCAACACGGACACGGTGCGCTGTCCCATCGCCGCCATCTTGGTGAGGGCAACACGGACACGGTGCGCTGTCCCACCGCCGCCATCTTGGTGAGGGCAACACGGACACGGTGCGCTGTCCCATCGCCGCCATCTTGGTGAGGGCAACACGGTGCGCTGTCCCACCGCCGCCATCTTGGTGAGGGCAACACGGACACGGTGCGCTGTCCCATCGCCGCCATCTTGGTGAGGGAAGGCGTTCGGCGTGGGGGACAGCCGTCGTTGGCAGCAGCAGCAGCAGCGATGCCGATTTCCGTGAGCGACTTCTCGTGGGAGCAGTCCAACGCGGCGGTGCTTCTCTCCGTGCCGCTGCGAGGCGTGCGGCCGGGCAGCGTGGACATCATCGCCTCTGATGAATACATCAAGGTGAGGAGTCGTGGGGGGGGGGGGGGGGGGGAATATCGACCCCCTCATTGGATCAGAGCTAAAGTGGTAAAGTTACGTGGAAAGTGTGATTGTAAGAGGGGGTTTTTGCGTGTGTATCTTTACGTATCTCGCACACGTGAACTTACTGTCGGCCTGCATCTTGCACGATTGTTGTAATTGCGTCCCCTGCCACGGAGATGTTATCATCATATTCTTGGTTCTTTCGGTAAAGTCACGTAGAAGGGGCTTCACCGAAATAACCAAGAATATGAATCCCTGCACTCACGAAAGCTTTACATCGAAATGTTACCATCAGTTTAGATAACTCGAACCATGACGTGATGATGTGGGGATCTGAACACGGTACATGTACGAGTCTAACCAGACTTTGCCATTAATTTAATGCGAGTTCAGCTATGAATGAATGGGTTATTGTATTAAACACCGATTAACTACCATGGCAACGGGACGACTCTCTGCACTAATAATGTATCTAAAGTCATATTTTAGTTGTTGTGTTTTTGTTATGAGTCGGAGTAGTTTGGTATTTGGTGGCAAAGCCTGTTTCTTTAAATGTTTAAAGTTGTGTTGACGGATGTTGCCAGGCATGCGGGTCGCCATAGCAACGGGCTTTGCGTAGTTACACACAGCCGGGGGGGGTCTCGATAATTAATCGATTTGTGAGTGTGGGGGGGAGGTCTTGGTAATTAATCAATTTGTGAGTGTGTGGGGGGGGGTCTTGGTAATTAATCGATTTGTGAGTGTGGAGGGTGTTCACATTCCGTGCAGGATCGCCGTGCGTCATTGCGGTGATAGTCATCATCAGCCATGATCACTCCGCTGCTGAACGAAGACATCCCTCAGGCCGTGCAGGTCGTACGGGTTGTTTAATAACCGCGTGTGTGTGTGCCTTCTTCGCCGGTGCTACTTGTGCCAACAGCGCTTGCCCGAACATTCTGTCGGCTTCACGGGAGACCTTTGTCTTTGACCATACTTCACCGCCAGGGGCAGGTCCGGGCTTTTGTGGTCCATGAGTCCAGACCAGATATCTCATTTGTAGGTGCCACCTGAGGTGGCTCTAATTGCTTAATGTGGGCAATAACAGACAATTACTGTATGCGATGACCTCTTGAAATGAGTGGGGTTATCAGGTCGTGCAAAAACTTATGTAATGTTAACGCTTTGCTTCCTTAGGTGGTGTCGGTTTGTGATTTGGCTCATAGAATATCCTTGAAAATTATCGCAATCATCGTTGTCATCATCCGCAGCAGCAGCATTGCAATACATACCACCACCACCATCAGCAGCAGGATTATTATTCAATGCATCATTGCCATGAGCGTCATCATCACCACCACCACCATCAGAATCATTGCATCATTATCACCTTCACAGTATAATGATCATTATCAACACCGTGATCATTCGGGTCATCAATCTGCGGTATTATACAATCGGCGTCATCTACATCATCAGGGTTCTAATCATCATGTACCACGTCATCACTTTAGACAATTATTCGGTAACCTTCGTCCCCATCAGTCATTGACAGTCTTTAGAAATTCACTTGTCATTAATATCCATACGTCTTATTCTTTCGTATGGCTGCTGATGTAGATGCAGAGCATCAATGACAGTTTCACGTCCAGGTGGTCAAGCCAGAGAACCACGTCAGGGGCAGCGGAGTGTCTCGCTGTGATGTCTCCTTCGCATTTGTGGATCGAGCATTGCGTCGTTATACACTGATCAGGCATTGACAGTCGATAGTAATGAGTCAGTAATTAACACTTATATCAAGCAGTCATTGACAAGAGTTTAGCAATTAACGCTCATGCCAATCAGTCAGCCATTAACACGCATACAGAAGGGCCATTGTGCGAAATAAAGCCTATTATATATTCACCCCATTTTAAGGCCACCGTGTTATTGACAAATGTGTTTGTTGTTTTGTTATTTGTGCTTGTGCACCACTGCCAAAGCAGCAGCATCAGCAGCAAAATAATGTGTCCGTCATTAACACTCGTGCCCATCAATCAGTCATCAAGTCATTGGACTGTCACTCGGCCTAGTACATGTTATCTTGTTTGTCTCTGTACTTGAGAATCTTGTTCAAGGGGTATTCCCACGTAGTTCTGCCACTCTTTTCAACGTAAAATATGCGAAATATACGGTGTTTTAAACGTGGTCATAAAAGTGTTATTATTGAGCCCAGTTCAAAATGCCCCCTGCACGTAGTTCTGAAAAAAACACTTCCCCAATTTCGTTCTCCGAATTGATCTTCAATGGAAAGTCTACTTTTGAAACTTCCCCTCGCTTTCCGCTCTTATTACGGAGTAATCGAGCGGGTAGGTCAGAGGTCACAGTGCTTATCCGGCACTGCTGAGACCGTGGGTATGAATCATGTGCTCAGCCGTACATAATTAGACAATGCTCTCAAGCATGGTGAGTTGATGGTCTCTCAAAACCCGGTGACCAATGCCTATATGCAAATGTACAGCCTCTTTGTCAGTCCGCTGCTGGATGAGGGCCTCCCCACGTCGTGCGGATTGTGAAGGTTATTTGAGCGTACTACTATGGTCGGTGTGGGTTGACGAAAGCGGAGAGCATTGACTTGGGAGCTAAAAAGTAAAATAGAACAACACACTTAAAGTGATACCCTGTATTGAGAACTGCAATGACTGCACATGAACACCATTGTATAAAATCTGGTTTTGCACTTAATTTGCAAAAATTCCATCTCTGAAAATTATAAATGTGATTTTTGTGAGCATTTCTCTTGCGGAAGACCCTCGTGAAAGATACGACGCAGAAGATCCCTTGATTTCGATCTTCCGCAAAGCTAATGGGCCACAACCCAAAAGCGCATGCGCCACACAAACCACGGCAGATTCGGATTCTTGATGCACGGAAAGAAGAATAGACCATGGAGCATTTAATGAACTCATTGCCCGATTCACAAATGCAGAAGAGGCACAGGAAAAATGGAAAATTAACGAGAGTCCAGTATATGTGGCTGCGGTGCAACATCTCAGACCCTGCAACATATCGTGAATGACTGCCCCAATTGGATCATTCAACGGCGATCTGAAACAAATACATCCCGGCTACTCCTGAAGCAGTCGAATGGATATCAAATCTCAACATCAATTTGTAATCTGTTGCAATACAAAGGAAGAAGATAGGGACACGCCACTCTCTTTGTGAAGCAATGATCTGGCTCAACTACTTCAGTGTAAAATTATATTTTGTTGCTCTACATCAACTATCAGCCGTACGAAGACAAAGCATTTTTCTCTGTAGCAAGGCGGATTGGGAAAGTGCTGCCCCCTGATTTGTGGGTCATAGGTCACTTCAGAGAATCTCAGAAACAGTTCTTCACTACCTGCTTCCACGGACCGTTCTTTAACACGGGGTTATGCGCTGTGAAAGTTCTGAATGGATTCTCCGCTCGTGACGTGACGCCGGAAGAAGAACGACCGGGATAATAAACATTTGGGGGAAACACAAAAACACATTACCCCTCCACCTCGCAGGAAACCCACAGACGATTTCCTTGAAACGAGGAGGCACCGCTCCCCCTGCTGGACTAGTGCTGTAACAACTGCATCACCGACTGCTTAACGGACTCGAAATTTAAAATCGACGAACCAATGTGGCCAATGTAGCCAATGGAGAAAGTTTTCAATTGGTGCATGCTGCCCATTATATCGATCGGGAACATGGCCACGGGCAAAATAACATGGGACAAAAGTCGAAAAGGTGCGCAAACAATCGTGGAGAGGTGGGAGTTGCATCGACATACAGAGAGGGGAACACATGGGCCAGTGAACAAATACTTATCAGAGACGGTGTATTTGTTGGTGAAGGGATTTAAGTGGGCTTGGGCAGAACATGTCACGAGAACGGATGATCGCTGATGGTCGAGGCTGGTGATGAAATGGCTTTAAAAGGAGAGATCACGTCCGAGAGAAAGACCACCGAGGATCGGACCGATGCGATCAGCACGTGTTTAGGAGCTCGGTGCGTTAGGGCGGTAAGATCCTTCGTCTTGATTCTACCAAATGTTCCGGTTTGGCTGGGACAATTTTGGCTTCAAAAAGGCTGTTACCGTGTCCCTAAACATACGTGAAATTGTGATTTTTGTCGTGGTTTTCATGATACAGGCAAAGTATAGGCCCTAGCAAAGTGGAGTGGTTGATGGATGAGTGGCAGTGCCTATGAGCAGCGAGGGATGCGCTTGCCGTGTGGGCGGTGGTAGTGGTTGAGTGGGCGTGGATTTCTAAAAGTGGGTTTGGCTGACGGGGTCATGGAGGGGCTGTCAGCTCATTGTCCTGGTTTAGCCTCCCAGAAATTTGGTATCCATAGTCTGGAAGAGAAGAGAGGTACGTCTGGAGTGTAAAGAAAAGTGTATTTGAGGCTGGAGTGCTATTTATATTCCTCTATGGCTCAGAGAGCTGGACTCTTAAACTGTTCGAAAGGAATTTGTTGCCATTTGAGCACAGGTGTCTGAGACAAAATTGCTAGGAATTTTGTGGAAAGACAGGTTAAGCAATGCGGAAGTTTGGAAGAGAACATGAAAGGTAAGCGCTGTAGATATGATACATCAAAAAAGGTTGCACTGGATTAGGATATGTGGGGAGGACGGGGGAGGGCCGGTTACCAAGACATGCATTGGAATGGTCTCTACAAGAGCAGATGGTGTTAGACTGTTCGGCATCTTGCGGGTAGTGTGTTTACTGCACAACAGCTGCAGCATGAGCCAGACTGTAAAGAGCATTGGTGAAATCTGGTTTCCATAATGGCTTTGGTATGATGACATCTTGATCTTGATTTGGTATACGTGTGTCCCGTCTGTCAGGTGAGCTTCCCGCCATACCTGCTGGAGCTGCTGCTCTTTGCGCCGGTGGATGAGGCGCGCAGCTCGGCTCGGCTGGGCCGTGGCGTTGCTCTGCTCACCCTGCCCAAAAAGGAGCCGGCACCATGGCCCCAGCTCATGTCATCGCTCCAAGGTGCCACAACTACTGCCTATGGCGCTCATAGCAGCGTCACCACACGGCATCATGTACTGTATCTTACACCTCTTTTGCCACTGAGCCGTGCCGTGCCAGCCTGGCGTGGCTCAGGAGGCGCCAAGTTGTTTTTCCACTGCAGAGCCATGCCCATTGGAATCACACGCAATGAACAAGTCAAGCATGTAGATGACGCAGTGATGCCATGTCCTTGCATGTCCTGACATGGCAACACTGCATCAATAGCCCTGCCCCGGGACCTGCTTGACCCCAAGCTAGATGCAGATGACTTGTGAAGTCAGCATAACGTGGCTTGGTTCTGGCTTGGCACAGCAAATAGCCAGAGGAAAACCACCCATACTGTGAGGGCCCCATGCTGGCTCAGCTCGGATGTGTCAGTGGAAAAAAATGTACATGATAGTGCCATTACAGTGGTGGCCTGTAATCCAGCACTATGGAGGCGAGGGTTGGTGGATTGCCTAAATGTTGTAAAACTCCCTTCCTGTGGGGGTCGAAGTTACTATACCCTGGCAGTACAGCAGAAATGTGGACTCCTCCTCTTCCATCTGTATGGGGTAGAGTGTTTTCCTCTGACACGCGTGGGTTTTCTCCGGGTGCTCCAGTTTACTCCCACACTCATTAATTGGCCGATGACACCTTCATGTATAGAGCTTAGGCAATGGTTGCCACCGGCTCGCTACGTCGTTGTTGCCTTCATGCTTGGTTGTTGTTCCCTGCGCCTCCGAGTTGTTCTCTCACTTTGAGAGTGAACAAATACTGGGCACATTACAAATTTTAATAATATTTATATATTTCCAGCTGGATGAATTTTCAGAGTTGAAAGTTTATTGATGTATCCGCGGCTCCATTAAAATTCAGACTGTGTGTGCATGCGCTTGTATCGACTGTGTTGACGGGACGCCTGCGTGGGTGTGTGCACCAGCGGACAAGGCGGCGATGCGGCGGGCACACGAGGAGGCGCTGGCCAGGGCACAGGAGAAGGCTCGAGCCGAGGCCGAGGCACGGGCGGTGCGCAAGCGCGAGGAGGAGAAGTTCGCTCTGCAGACCATGATGCAGGTGACGCGTTACGATGCGCTCGTTAGTTATCGCGTCCTTCCAGATGCTCACGTGTTTTTACCGAATTCTACGGATTATAACACGCTGCAGATATTGCGACGTAGTGGCGGATCCAAGGGGTGGGCGATGAGGGCGATGGGCTTCCCCAGAGACCCTCAAATGTGTTATTTTATTGATATTTCACAGAGAAAATACATTAATTGCTATTTTTGGACCGACCCCTACCGCTTGGAAAGTTTCTAGAGCTGCCTCTGGTATGACGCACCCCAATCAACATCTTCTCAATAAACGCGATGTTTGAAGAAAGCAGGAAACAAGGGTGTAAAATATAAAGTTCTGAAACGTACCTTGAACGGTGGGAACAGGAAGTGCATCTTATAATTCGGAGAATACGGTAACGGTGGAAGTGGCTGTGTGGTGGTCGAGAAGCTGCTGACTGCCTGGTGCTGAGACAGTTATTCAAATTGTTTCACACGTGTAAGGGTGGAAATGGTCATGGTGGCAGCATAGGTCACCTACCGGATTAAGAGATGCAACCTGTACTTTACAATGCAGGGGAAGAACAAGTCAAGCATGTAGATGACGCATTTTAACCTTCAGAATTTGTTTGACCCTCATAGTTTGTTTACATTGCGTGCTACTAATGACCGCAAGTCACAAGGGCTTCTCGCAGTTGCAGTGTTATCGTATTTCTCACGAGTCTATTGTTGTGACAACTTTGCCATACCACCACCACCGCCGCCGCCTGTGGAGAACAGATCGAGGAGGACAAGCGGAAGAGGATAGAAGAGGAGAAGGAGAGGGAGCGCCAACACGCCACGGCGGAGCTCGAGAGGTGGAAGGAGCAGCAGGGCCGGCAGGAGATGGAGGAGAGAAGGAGAGTGCAAGAGGAAGAGGAGAAAAGGAGGAGGAGGGAGGAATGTGCGCGGCTGCGACAGCAAAATCGGGAGAAACAACAGCAGTTGCCAACAGGTAAACTAAACTAATCTTATTTTACCAGGTAAGGCCCACTGGGCTATAGATCTCTTTTTGAGAAGAGACCTGGCCATCACAAATGACAGCTCAACAAAATGGCTTTTCACGTGGAAATCTTAAGCAGCCAAATACTCAAAAACTTATGATTCTAAATGTGAAGGGAAAATCTGGAGGACGTAGAGAAAAAGCCACACACGACAGCAAGGAGAGAAAACATGCAAACTCCAAATATATAGGTGTCAGGGTCGGGCTCAAACCCACGCCCTCCTGCATATCAAGCAAGACAGCTAACATCTCACCACCGTGACGTGCCACATCTCAGGTGCCGGTGAGAGCAGCGCGGCGTTGCTAGGCGACCACACGTCAGGGTGTACAGTGGGCGGGTGTAACGCTGACAAGCCACCAGCTGCTGTCCTGTTTCACCTGAGGGTTCGCCACCTTCACGCGCTGATGAGCGTCTGTTCACAAAGCGCCAGGTCTACAACGGAAGACACAACCAGCAAAACAAACAGCTCTTGTCTTGTCGATACAGTCAACTCTTGATTATCTGGGGAAGTGGGTGAGAAAGAGAATAGGTTAGGGTTAGGATAATGGTAAAAACACAGACAATGGTAACATACTAATTAGCCTATTAAAAGATATAATGCATAATTCACAATTTCTTTCTTGGTTTTCCCAAATTGGTGTCTTTAAGACCCTCCACCACCTAACAGCCAAGCAAACTAATTGTCATGTATACAAGAGTGTAACTACACACCGATTATAATCAATGTTTCAACTCACTCAATGGTAGATTGAAAAACAATAGATCCATCTCAGTGTTAAATTTGGTTATGAGAATCGTCTTAACCACAACAATATAATCAGATAATCACGTGGCCGATCCCAAAAATCAACTCTGAACCATAGGATTGGCAGCGAGAACCTACATTTTTGCAGAATGCGTCACATCTGTATTGCTTCTTAAAGCAATCGGTTTACTTGCTGGTCACGTGAGCGCTGACCTCCAACAAGTGGGGAGCGGCTAGTAGACCAGCATGCTTGTAAATGTATTTTATTATTTATTTAAAATCTTATTATCTGTTCGCAATGACAGTTTATCCGTACTCGCGTGCTGTTTGCGTGGTGCACCACCATAGCACGCTGGTAATATATCAGAGTGACGTGACCAGCGTGCTGATTACGTGCTTTTTCAGCAGCCACACATCCGCTCTGTGATTCCTAGCAGGTGGGGGGCGCCCCCCAAAAAAGGAGAAGGAGTTGCCGCCCCCCCGGCAGGCAGCCGCCATCGGAGTTCACTTCAGTCCGCGCGTGTTCCCCACGGCGTTGCGAGAATCGCGCGTCCCCGAGGAGGAGCAGGTGAGAGCGCCTGGGCCATCGCTAACGCTCGACTCTCCATTCGCCATCGCTGAGGGAGGGTGCGCACGTGAGACGACGCGTGTGTATGTGTGTGTGTGTGGTGCTGGCCACCCACCCCCTCGTGTGCCGTTTCGGGATTCATAGGTGCTCGCTAACAGCACTTGCCCGAACAATCTGTTTTGTGAGTGTGGGGAGCGGGAGAGTAATAGTGTGCTGCGCTACGACCCTGGTAACCCGAGTTCGACTCCTGCTCATGGCCAACTTCGGTGACTGGTTTTGGGCCTCCCCAAGGTCGACTCATCCTTGAGTACCTGGCGCAATGTGTAATAATCAGAACTGGGGAGACAAAGGCAACTAGGTGTGGTGCTGGCCATGCGCCCCCACCTCTCCATTGTGTGCCGTTCTGGCCTTAATAGGTGCTCGCTAACAGCACTTACTCCCAACAATCTGTTAAAGGTTTTATGTTTTTTTTGTGTGTTTGTATGTACGTCTCTGTGCTCACCCGCGTGTCACCCCCAGTGGCTGAAGCGGCAGGCGGAGGCCCGGAATATATGTGACCTCAATGACCCTGAGCTCTCGGGGGAGGAGAAGGATCCACAGTGGCTCAAGGAAAAGGGCGGGTGGGTTGCTCCTGTGAACACCTGCACCCTCATGCACAGCAGTAGTTGCGCTATCAGCTCCACCCTCACACACACACATCTCTACTCTTACACACAGCGATATCTCTGTTGGCTCCGTGCAGTTCCACACAGCTCCACCCTCACACAGCAGCGGCTCCCACGTGAGCCCGACTCTAACGAGCGAGCGTCGCCCATCCTGACAGGAAGCTGTTTGCGGCGGGCAATTACCTGGCTGCGGTGAATGCGTACGACCTGGCGATTCGGCTGAGTGGTGGCGATCCGGCGCTGCACCTCAACCGCGCCGCGTGCCACCTCAAGCTCCGCAACCTGCACAAGGCCCTGCATGATAGCTCCAGGGTACGTTAGCTCACTCACCCTCGCGTCCACCTGCCCGCCAGCCCGCCCGCCAGCCCGCCCGCCCGTCCGTCCACCAGCCCGCCTGAAAACCTGCCTGCCAGTCAGCTCATCAGCTTTCCCTCCACAATGGGCACCTGTCCACAACATTAATACAAAGTTTCCCTGTATAGCCTTCAACAGAATGCTGAGGCAAGTGCTGTTAGCGAGCACCTATGAAGGCAAGCACGGCACACGAGGGGGTGGGTAGTCAGCACCATGCTCAGCCACCTTCGTCTTCCAAGTGGCGATGTTTACACACTGCACAAGGTACTTTTTTAAGGCTGAGTCGACCTTGAGCGGCAATGAAACTTGGGTTGCCAGCTTCGTAGCTCAGGGCGCTAACCATAAAACTGTCACTCCCCACAACAAGCAACAATCGTCGTTTGACAATAAGTGCTGATGATGTCACTACGGTGCTTGTGCCAGACTAGGTGCACTTTGAGGCCATGTGACGTGTCAAAGGCTCGCAGGCAGGTCTCGGAACAGACCCAGGTGCCATGGGTTGACTGAGATGACTGGTAGATTCACCACCTGTGCTCCCCACTGTGCCAACTTGCTGCATTTTAGCTGCTCCGCTTATTGTTGAGCATCGTTCTTTCACCCTCCATTGTTGCTGTAGGGCGACTGCCTCCAACTGCCCAGTAGTGTCTTTCACAGAACACACGCGTCACCGGCCACAAACCAGCCATAGCAACTGTGACAACAATGGGGCGTTAGTGGTTGTTTTAGTGAATGATGCTTGGAATGAATAAATGAAACAGCTATTTTTATTCATAAGTATGAACAATAATTTGTAAAATGTATAATTCTGCCAGTCTTATAGTGCAAGGCGGTCACGAAGACCGTGTTTCACAGTCTGCATTAGTTTCACAGTAGGTGGTGATGTTGCTGCGTGTGATCCCTGTTGAGTAATTTGCGGGTACTTTTTTTTAATTTGGCAAATGTGAACCATGATGTTGGCACACAATGACCTACTCTTTTAGAATGATGTCAAGGGATCTTTAACGTCTTTGAGTTTTACTTATTTTTTACTTACTATAAAGAAAACTGCGAATATACTACGGTTAATGCATCTGCAGTAATCACCAGGGCAGCTTGCTGGATTCCAATGGCGAACCGTTGCAACAAGCGGCAAAGGCGCTCGGACTGGGCCACGTTGTCACTGCCCGTGACTGATGGGCCACAACCAATCGGGCACATCTGCTCCAGCTGTAGCTTCCTCAATGCATTGGTGCTGTGTGTTCCATGCTTTCTTGCTGGTTGGAAGTTTTTCATTGATACATGTACAGCCCTTCTGGTAATCCACAGCTGGATGGGGGCTGTGTGGGTTGTCTTGGAGGGGTGGGGTTCGCTAGCCATGCTTCATCACATTGGTCAGACGGATCCGTGGCGGTGGGGAGCTTAAGAGGTCCATTTCCCATGGCCTGGCGCTACTGGCGATGTAGCAGTCGCTTGTGGCCCTGGTGTCCTCTTGCATTTTCATCCTCATCGGTGCTGGTTTTTTAATGCCAACTAAAAGTACATTTTTTATTATTCTCTTAGCACTGTCCATCAATCTGTAACGAGGGGGCACCACAATTCTTGTCCAAAATCCAGTATGAACAGTAATTTAGTATTCACTTGTGTTGCTATTAGGGACATAGCCTAGACAAAACCAGTAAAATTGATCAGATGACCAGAGCAGGTATTGGAGCCCAGCTGTCTTATTGCAAGTGCTACTGTTATTATCGCAAATTAAAATCCCGGGGACAATCGCGCATTGGAAAGTGTTGAACAGAATCCGTGTGTGATTTTTTTCTTCATTTGTTTTATTCCTGCCCAGGCGCTGGAGCTGCTGACGCCGCCAGTCCCAGCGAACCGCGCGGCGCGGGTAAAGGCGCACGTGCGGCGTGGCACGGCGCTCTGCCAGCTCGAGATGTTCGTCGAGGGTGAGTGGAGCCGGGCCCAGCGGCACGGCAAGGATTCATTTCTCCCCGGGTCTCTCTGCGTCGATTCTGTCGCGCAGCCGTCTAACGGTTGGCACGGTCGACTTGCAATCCAGAGGTCACCGGTACAGTTCGATCTCTGGGCGCAGCAGTTGAAAGAGTGGTGGCAAGTTTCTCAATCCCCCTCCCACCACTGTCCACCCAGCAGTATAAATGGAGACACTGCAAGTCCATCGATTGGCAGGTTGTGTGTGGTGGGTACATTGTGGGTACTCTCACCTCTTCCAACATGTCTGGCTAGTGTGGAAGAGTCGGCCAATACCCTCTCTAGAGCTCCCCATAGTGGAGGCTGGTCTACCAGCAGCGGCATAAGCAGGGCCTAACCTTTACCTTTTACTACCTTTACATGCCTACAAATGACTAATCTTCCCGCAAGTTGCAACCTGTCCGTCTGCATGACTACCCGTCATCGATGTGTGCAGGACTCATGGACTATGAGGCGGCTCTCAAGCTCGACCCGGATAATGTGGTGCTGAGGGAGGATGCTCGCAAGATCCGGGACATCGTACAGGGCTCACGCGGAGAGGAGACGCGGTGATGCCGGCACCACTCCCGGGGTTTATGCTACGTGACCTGTCCTGACGTATCATCATCACTTCATATTTATAGAGTGCCTCCGTTTCAGTGCATCTCGAGACTGAGAGTCCCGAATGTTCTGGGGAAGAGTGTCGCTCCACAGCTGAGGAGGCACCTGGCTGCTGCTGAAGGCTCTTTCTCCCATTGAGCGCATGTATGTCCCAGGCACACTCAAGTACGGCACAAGGTGAACGCAGCACCGGCCTGCAAGTGGCTATTAGTCTATCAGAAGGAGGCGATGCTACTATGTTGCCTTTTGCCAATTAAGTAATTGCAATGTTTTTTTTTAATCAAATGTGGCAAATTTGGATCGTGATACTGCCACGATTTGAATTGAAAACGTAGTTCCATGTATAGCCAGCTTGTAAATCCACTGCTGGATGAAAGCCTTCTCTCCAAGCCGTTGCCATCTCTTACATGGTCCTGCGATGTATCAATCCACCTGGCACCAGCACAGGAGTTCTCATCTCTGTCGTTCCCCTGTTTGGATGCCACTCCATCGTTTCTCTCAACCATCTGCTACCATCATCAACATGTACAAACCCTTTTTGTTAATCCACTGCTGAGTGGGGGGCCTGCATGCATGGGTTGTCGGGATTATTTAACCCTACTTCACGCTGGCCGGTGCAGGTTCAGCCTGTTGGTGACCGTGGGTTTATACTATGTTCTACAGTTGTGGTGAAGAACTCAATGCCATTAATATTCCCTATAAAGTAAAACCCTAATGTGCGCCGTGGTCGTCACACTCTACGGCTCTTATACTGTACTGTATGTGACGATTTCAACTGGCGTGCCTCGTGGGCTGGTGTCAACGTCTTCTTTGTGTAACTTATTATTAAAATACACATTTCAAGTTTAAAAATAAAATCTACGTTGGTGGTTTTAATGACAAGTGTTTATTAAAGTGAAAGTCACGCGACACGGCACGTTACGGAAGCGTCGCGGAGTACGCAGCTGTTGAGTCACTCATCGGCCACGGCGGCGATTCCCGCTGGCACAACACCTCGCCATCGCACCCGGGCAAATCTTGGAAACGCCGGTATAAATAGCGCACCCAATAAAAACAAGTGGCAGATCTGTAAACAGCGTTTCATAACAAAGACATTAATCACCCGGACGCATATAACGTGTAACGTGCCTTATTTTCCCAAATAAGTTGTGCCTCGTGATGGCGGTGGAGAGGAGAGGACGGCCCTGTCCCTCCCAGCTGAGATTCTCATCCTGGAGAAGCCACTGTAGTCTTTGTTATAACAAATGGCCGGACAGGGCAAAAAGGTTTAAAGCTGGGGATAGAAACCCGGTGTGAGCTCTGCCTCATGCTGTAGTCGCAAGACTCTTGGTGATCACTCCACACCTCCCCATGACAATAACAAGCCTCGAATGGAGAGAGGAGGACGATGAGGCATTTGTGCCACGTGGTGATCTGGCCTCAGAACCCAGCTTCTCATAGCTTGGTCCAGAGGTGACCGTGCCTGAAGGTGACTTGACCTCCGTAAACAGGTTTCCCTTTATGCGGGTTCAGTTTGTGTGATTTCGCGTATATGCGGCTAACCTATTTCTACCCAAAATTCGCGATGTGGTTTTAATTCATTCACATGTGGATATGCGATTGGACTTGAGACAACATTGTGTGTGTACTGTGTGCCCTTATTGGCAGGCAGCTGTCTCGTGCCTTTTTGCGCCCTTTATTTGGACCACATCTACTACCGCATAAAGCGAGGGAAACCTGTACTCTACTACCGAGCTGTTGCGTGGCAATACCGAACGGGCCCAATGTGGATCAGGAGGCACCAGGTTCTGCCACTGCAGAAACCGAGCCGTGCCACTGAATGAGTCTCGTTGCCAGTGCACTGTTGACGAACCCACCGTATGACGACATTTATTAACTTGCCCCTGGCCTTGCTTGTCCCCGAGTCTGACAAAAAATTATTGTGAATTCAGACTTTCATGGCTTTGTTTTGGCTCGGCATGGCAAATAACATAAAACCACCCATGCTGTGAGGACCCCATGCTTACGTGGCTTGGATGTTCCAGTGGAAAAAAAATTATAATGGTGACCAGGCCTTAACGTGGTGTTTTGCCCTGGCCGAGTTCCAGGTTAGCCCAGCCTCAAGCTGGTTGAAAAAAACACTTTTAGTTCACAATCACCGGTCTTATCTTTTAGGGTTGTGGATATACAATGCTATTTTTAGTTGCCCTGAGTTTTTGTAAATATCAAACTCGCGTGAAGAATATTCCAGAGGTCAACCGTCTCAAATGAGTGTATGTCACAGATAACATTTGAGTTATATTTGTGCATTACAGTTCTATGTTGTCTAAACCACTGGATTTCATGGCATAGCATGAACGAATGATTCATATTGACTTAGTGTTGAAAATTACCATATAATCGATTTATAATTCTTTTTTTATTCAGATGAGTATTATATTCCTTACAGTTTGCAGCATAAACACTTATCTCTCAGTGAACTCCATTGGTGCATTTGAGAAAATCACAACAGTGGTGCTGAAAATATATTTGCAAAGCATGGTGCATGCAAGATGAGAACATTATGATCCAGAAGTGGATTGCCAAAACGGGCTGCAAAAGTACTAAACATGGGATAAGCATGGTTAGTGCATGGATGGACGACCACCATGCATGATGTGTTATATGCTGTCACCTTGATCTTGCTGCACTGCCCACTACGTAGCACAGCAGCCGCCTATATCACCGATGATGCATGGTGGTAGCCCATCCCAGCACTAAGCTTCGGAGCTACGTGGTGGGCAGCAGAGGGCGGTTGCCCTATACTCGTATGTATAAATTACGGGGAAAAAAGTTACCAAAAGAGTTTTATGCAACTAGTTTAAGACCAGGCACAAGCTGACCCAAACACAAAGTTATCTGACCCCATGACTAGGCTTGCCACCTGTCTGGGTCAAACCCAGACAGTCCGGTAATTGGCATTTGTATTACAGTATACTGTAGAGTTTGGATAGACTTAGGCTGACTGACACATGTCTGAATTTACTTCGTGGAAAAGGTGGTGCCCCTACTCATGACCCGGTCCCACGTCGCCCAACCCCTGGCCCCAGGAGGCCTCAGAGCGTGTGCTGGAGGTTGGGGTGGTCGATGACGCGGCTGCGGTCCAGGGTGGTGTTGAGGGCCCGGTCGCGGGGCATCCCGCACTCCCCGAGGTGCCGCGAGAAGCGCTGCGACGCGGGGCGGTGCACGCAGGGCGCCGCCTCGGGCCCGGGGCTCAGGGCGCCGTAGTCGTGCGCCGTGGTGCGGTAGAGCGAGGAGGCGGGCAGCGCGGCCCCGGCGCGCACCGTGAACACCGGGTTGCCCGGGCTCGGGCTGCCGAGGCCCGGCCCGGCCGGCCCCGTACCCGCGTCCGACATCATCGCGGCCTGCGGACCGGGACGCGGCAGCCGTGCTCATGGGGACCGTCGGGCAGAAGAAGGCGGTTGAACAACACGGACGTTGAGGAGAAACGCCTCATTCGAGACCCTCACATCATCGCACCTCCTGGCTTTGACATTCCTCCTCACAGACACTGGTGGTGTGACCATGAACCGCACCAAACCATCAACAACAGGCTGACGCGCAACATCTTCATGGGTTGAATACATGAAAGATAAACCAGGCGATTGTGGACATGCAGCCCCGAGCGATGGACCATGAAATAAACCCATATACATTTCTTTATATGCAAATTTCCCCCTCCAACCCAGCTTAAATATACGCTGCCAAGCTTGGTGGTGCTCATTCAGACGCTGTCTTTCCGACACACCTGTTCTTCACCTGAGGACGTCTGCTTGCGTTGTGGCCGAAACGTCGTGAGAATTGTATTTTATTATGTTTTATTTATTATTTCCCTTCTACGTGACTTTACCGAAAGAACCAAGAAGATGACCCCATATAGACACGCGGATATACAGGGTGCTTAAAAAAGATGGACCCAATTTCAAAGCAGTATATTTCACGATGGCAACATGTTACAATTACACGAAAAGTTACAAACGGTTGAATGAGTTATCAAGTTTTACTAACCATTTTATAAATGCTCTACGTGCCCTCCACCTGCTGTACGGGCAACATCGAGACGATAGTTGAATTCGTCCCAAACGCCTCTCTTCTCACGTTTTCCTCTGAGGTGCGTGGTCGCCCTGTGCTCTTCCCCTTACATCAACAGCCTGCTTCCTCAAATTGTCGGTACCAACGACGAATGCTCTTTGACATTGGCGGATCAATGCCAAAACGCTGTTGAAACGCACACTGCACCGCAATTACGGATTCAGTCTTGCTGAACTGCAGAAGGCAAAACGCCCCTTGTGTTGTGGGGGTCACCATCTCGCGAACGACTGAGGCTAGGGGCTGTTTGTGCGCTGGGAGAGGCATCTCGCGGTCATCATTTGAAACTCTATACCCCGTCCTGTCAAGTGGTAAAAGTTTCATTCATGGGCGGTTCGTGTTTGCAGAGATATAGCGATTTCAATTCGGGTCCATCTTTTTGAAACACCCTGTATACAGAGACTCAAGAGATACACAGAGATACGTTAAAGACAAGCCAGTCGTGAGATTGTGGCCATGTTACCCAAACTCTGGGTTACCATATGGTACATCACAAGTCGCCGCTTCTTCAGCGGATTAAGATTAAACCACAACTCTCTACTGAAGCCCTCTTCTCGTCGTCGCGAACAGACCTCGACGTTGGCATTTAGCTCCTGTGCACAATGCTGCCATCACGCGCACGAACAGAATCCGATCATCACCAGCATCATCATCATCATTGACACGTTACATCAATCAACCGCTGCTTAATTAAACTTGTTGGAAATCTGTAAAAAAAAACAAGCTTTGAATTAGCTTCCGAGGCCGGGCGCCTTCCCCGGAGATTTGGTCACACGCGAAAGCTGACACCGCGATGGCCCCAATCTGTGTTAACGTTATAAGGTTTATAGCAGAAACAATACCCACAGTTATCGAGGTAGATGGTAGTGGATCCTCTTAACGACGGTCCGGATCGTAGCCCTCGTACGGGTGTCCACCGGGGAGGGGGGGTCACGTGACTCTCTCTGTTTACATTTCGGTTGCCGTGGCGACGGGGTAAGGTGGGTGGGGGGGCTCGCCCAGTGGTGACCTCATCGCGACCACGTGACCCGCGCTCCGCTCATCACGTGACTTGCAGCCTTAGCGGGAGACGAGGTTGAGGAGGAGGGGGGAGGAGGTTGATGAGACGCGGAGAAGACGACGACGACGAGGAGGAGACTCGAACCGAGCTCAGTGGCGCGGCGGCGTCCACAATCCATCCCACCGCTCCACGAAGGTGGTCAACTCCGTTACCGACTCGCCCCCACCACCGCGACCCACACCCTGCTCGGTCTGCCTCTGCCTGCGGGCATCGGTGAGGGTGCGCCGGTACAGCGGCCAGGCAAGCGTTGGGGGCCCGTGCGCGACCAGGCCGAGGTAATTTGCATTCTCAAGTAAACAAAGCGGGCGCTTCAGGGTTGATGCGCGCACACACAGACACGGCTAGGCGTGTACAGACACACACAGACAGACAAAGATCCTACTCCAGTCTTTAACATACTTTGAGCAAGTGCTGTTCGCGAGAACCTATTAAGGCCGTACATAAACAAACACAGACACGTGTATACACATTGATACACACAGCACACGGATACAAATACACGTTAACACACAATTTAGACAAGTACGTCGACGCAACACAGACACACGCACTCGTACTGTACTCGAGTTGTGAGTTCCATGTCGATCCCGACTCAGGTTCGTCTGCCGCCGCCGCCGCGATGTCGACTTCGGAGAGCGACAGCGACTCGAGCGGGTGGACTCTGCTGAGCCGCGAGGTGAGGGGGGACCCCTCGTGGGGTGGAGACCCGCGTGTTGATGGGAGCCCGCTGGTGTGAGGGGGCCACAGGGGTGAGGGGCACCCGTGCGGCAAAGGGGTGAGGGGATTCGCGATGAGATCCGTGGTTTTGAGGGGATTTTTGTGATGAGGGGGGGCCGCGTGGTGCGGGGTGAGGGAACCCGCAGCGTGGTGGTGGTGGTGAGGGGCCCCGTGTGTGGTTTGGTGAGGGGACCCGTGTGGTGAGGGGACCCGTGTGGTGAGGGGACCCGTGTGGTGAGGGGACCCGTGTGGTGAGGTGACCGGTGTGGTGAGGTGACCCGTGTGGTGACGGGACCCGTGTGGTGAGGGAACCCGCGTCGTGGTGGTGGTGAGGTGACCGGTGTGGTGAGGTGACCCGTGGGGTGAGGACCCCTGTAGAGGTGAGGGGACCTGGGCCCTCGTCTCGGCGTTAGCACCCCCCCTCCCCAAACCGCTGGCCCCAGTTGCGCGTTGGCACAGCCTCCTTACGCAATGGCCAGATTTACACAACAGAGCTGGCACCGCGCGGGGCTCGTGTTTACTCGCTGGGGGGCGAGCGGGCGAGAGGCAGAGACGCTGACCCGTGCTCTCCCGCGTGGCCGCGGCGTGCAGGGCCTGGACGAGGAGTGCGTGGGCGCCAAGCAGAGACGTCAACTCGGGCACTCGGACTCCGAGGATGATGGAGCTGAGACGGTGCCGGCCCACGTCGCGCAGAGCCAAGGCAACGGTGGGCAAAGCGGCGCGGACGACACGGGTAGCGCGGCACGGGTAGCGCGGCACGGGTAGCGCGGCACGGGTAGCGCGGCACGGGTAGCGCGGCACGGGTAGCGCGGCACGGGTAGCGCGGCACGGGTAGCGCGGCACGGGTAGCGCGGCACGGGTAGCGCGGCACGGGTAGCGCGACAACTCTCCCCTTCCTCCTGCCCCGTAGGTAAAGGGCTAAGAGTTAAGGCACAGGATGGGGAATCTACGGCCCATTTGCCAAAAGTGGTCTGCGACTTCATTTTACCGTGGCCTGCAGCCACATGAGATCGTCCACTTTGAAAAGGCCTGGAAGCCACAAGCATTTTAGCCGTACTCATTGTGTACTGGAGGGGAATATTTTTGATGTGGCAACAATAGTGATTCTTATTTTAGCACGCTCAAGTCACTGCTGTCACTTCAAGGGCCTCTTGTACTGAAATAAGTGGCCGAGAAGTTTGTGCTAATGTGTGGCCCCCCGCCAAAAGGCATTTTAGAGTTGAGTTTGGATATTGTTCAGCTAAACTTTCCCATGTCGTGTTTTGGGGGTTGACCGCTCAGGGTTAGGCACATGACTCTATATTTATTCCTTGTTTAAAATACATTCTTGGACTCATAATAACAGTATAGAATTGTGCATCTAATAATCAAATATGTATGCTTTATTAATGTGATATGAAAATAATATTATGTTACATTTAGGCAAATGCAGTGAACAAAATCGTCATAACAGTAAGACAAAACATTTGTAAATCAATTCGTAACTGAATCGTGATAATTAATCTAATCGCTGGGTGGGTGGTAGATTGTTAGAATGTTCAGAGCTATGATTATAAGGGTCAGGGTTATTAGCGTTTGGGGTTACCAGAGTTGGGGGTTGAGGGTTAGAGTAATGTGGGTAGAATGATAACTTGTAGGATTAAACTTTTAAACATACGTGTTATGGCTAAGGTTTGGAGTTGTAACAGCAGAATTGTGTTTGGTGTGTATAATGTCAGGGTTATTATTAGTGTTTATACTTGTGGTTTATGTTAGGATTTTTATAAATGTATTATGAAGATGACGAGAGTGTAAGTGGCTACGATTAATGTTAGGTTTGGTCATGTAATGTAACGGTCATTGAGGGCAGAGTTACAGTTGCTCGGGTCATCATCATCATCGTCATTTATTATTTATGTTGTTGCGCGTGACACGCGTGTGGCAGGTTTCAAAGTGCTGAAAGGGATTTGACATTGAAACCCCACACGTGGGTAACAGAAGAAATACGCACAGAGAGATGAACATCAATAACTTAGACGACGTAACCGATGGTATTTCACTCAAGACAGTCGAGCCAATGTTACTACTGCAGCACAGTCGTAACAATTGTGTCTCACGGAGTTTTGCTGCGTGGAGTTTGCGCGTTCCCCCCCTCCCATTCTGCGTAGGTTTGCTCCGGGTTTCTCAGGGTTGTGGTTTTGTAGGTTCATGCTCAGCTGTCCCTCTGCTGCGGCCGCCCTCCACACTCGGAGTGATCGAGGAGTTTGTGTCTCGCAGGGTTCTTGGAAGGGAAACTCCGGGAGGCGTTGGATGCCGGGGGCGAGGGCTGCGAGAGGGTGGGGGAAACCGGACTCCCCGACGAGACCACGTGCACGGTGAGTAGCAGCAGCAGCAGCGGCGGCGGTGGTGGTGGGGAAATGGGTGGGGAATCCGAGCAGAGGCTGTCACTGACGATTCACAATCCAATCGCTCAGAGCGGGATTATCCAAAACGTAAGGGGTCGCTGACCCAAGCTGGCGCGAGCTGGCTGGGCACTGCCACCTTTGCCTCGATCGAGCAAGAAGACTGTGGCCTGTGCATGCTAGATTGGGGCTTCACAGATGTGGCTTGTGGGCATTCATACAGTGGCATCATCAATCCACTGCTGGATGATGGCCTCCCCATGTAATGTTAGTGTTGGGGCTTATTTGACCATACTTGGTTAAGTATGGCTTGGTGAGAGGGCCAGAATGGGTTCAGATAGAGCACCTCCTTGCCTGTGACGTTAGCCGCGGTTGGCATCTGATGTAGCGGAACAAACATAAACGTGAGGTCACGGCTTCACCAGCACGGTGCGGCCCAAACGCACAAACAGCTCTCCATGTAAAAGCTCATTGTGCTTTGTCGTCGGGGATCATGGGTAATGTTTACTGTAAATGTACAGACTTCACTTCCGGCTCGCCATGATTAAAATGTTTTACGCCGAGAATACATAGTAGATTACATGAGCAGCCTCCTGAAAAAGCGCCCTGAGACTCAACGAAGTTTCCATTGGTAAATCAAGAATGTTGTTTGATTTTTATTATTATTATGACATGCATTTGAAATAGCATCGAGTTTTTTGTTGTTTACCATAAGCTTTTTGTGTTTAGTTGTTGTCCTTCCCCCGCACCTCTAATTCGAATGGTTGGCTACGTATGGTGCGAAAGAAGTTCAACTTACATACTTCCACACATACGTAAACGTAAACGGTTTGGACAGCGGCGTTTGACACGTTGCATTCATGTCATGGCGGTGAACAAAACCAGGTGGAGCGGCCACCCGGGCCTGAAGAGGTGAAGGAAGATGTGAATGCGGAGGTGGGAGATGAGGATAAGGAGGAGGTGAGAGATGAGGAAGATGAGGTGAACAAGACGAACGAGAAGGTGGGCAAGGCAAGTGAGCCAATGGGTGAGGAGGTTGAGATGGTGGACGAAAATATGGGCAACGTGAGCGAAAAGGTGAAGTTGGGCGAGGAGTTGAGTGTGGAAGTGAGCGAGAAGATGATGGAGGAAGAGGAGGAGAGCGAGGTGGTGAGTGAGGTATTGAGCGGGAGCGTGAGCAAGAAGGTGAACAAGGAGGTGAAAGGGGAGGGGAGCGAGAACATGGGCAAGGAGGCGAGCGGGGAGTTCAGCAAGGCAGTTAGCGAGAAGGTGAGAGGGGAGGTGAGTGAGGAGTTGAGTGAGGAGTTGAGTGAGGAGTTGAGTGAGGAGTTGAGTGAGGAGTTGAGTGAGGAGTTGAGTGAGGAGTTGAGTGGTGACGTGCAGGCGAAGGTGATTGAGGTGAGCGAAAAGATGGAGGAAGTGAAAATGGAGCGAAGCGAGGTGGTAATGGAGGAGGTGAGAGGGGAGATGTACAAGGACATGATGGAGGAGATGGGTGAGGAGATGATGGAGGTGAGCGAGGAGGTGAGTGGGAGCGATGACTCCGACCTCTTCACGCTGGATCCCTCTGCGCTCGACGAGATTCCGGATCCTCTTGCTCCCTCTGAGGCGTCCGTGGAGATGCCCGACTCTGCGGCAGGCCTGGAGGACCCCCCTCATCTCCCCTCCCACTCTGAGGCATCTGCGGAGCCCGTCACGCGGAAGGATGGCGAGGACACCCTCACGGGGTCTTTGAGCATCGGCGGCCGCTTCCCGTTCCCCCTGGGGCGCGAGCGAGGTGGGTTGAGCTCCTCAGCGGTCGCAACGGGGACCTGCAGCGTCTGATCCACTCATGTGGGAGACATGTGACCAATACGGACGAGACGAATGACCAACACAGACGCGCTCACGGCACGTGCGTCCAATCGCACGTGCAAACACTCGTGTTTTGGGCTCACGTTTGTTGTGCGTAATGGGTCAATGTCACCGCTACGGCTACAAGAGGTTTCGCTATTCACGATCCAGAGTTGCAGAAATTCGAAAATCGTTCCACCTGCGCTATCTGCTCTGCTGTTGCGATGAGGGTGGTGATCCCGCCACTGTAATGAGGATAACGAGAGCTGATGGAGCCGAGCGATGATGGTTTCCCTTGCGTCTCCTGCAGCCCCGTCGGGCACTGGCTCCAGCACCGACGAGGAAGACCAGGAGAAGCTCGGTCGATGTGATGATGACGAAATCAGGAGCGGCCCGACGGCGCCCAGGCTGCGCCGACGCCTCGCCCGCCGGCAACTCTCCACCACGCTGGCCGACGGCACCGTGCCTGCAACGGGGGGCACCGTGCCTGGCACGGGTGTGCCGGTGACGGTGCTGGTGCCCGCACTCGCGCTGGCGCTCATCGTGGCGCTGGGACTTGTGATAGCGAGCAACCACGGTGAGCGGCACAATCCCCCACCACCCAGACCCCAACCACACACTCCCCGATCATCCACACTGGCCAACCCTAGGTGTGCTCGGCCTAATATGAGTTTCTGTGGCTTTCAGTCAGTGTCAGGTTACTCGGGAGTGAGGTGAATTTGGCAACATCCTCCTCTCGGTCCACTCAGCCTGAAATGATCACCGGTCGAGGAGGCCGAGGCTCTTTTTGTTTACAAGTTAACTCGGTGATGCCCTCGCGCTGCAGACTGGGTCATGTGACCATCACGGTCATGTGACCGCCGGCGCCGGGACGTGTAAATATTGACAGCGCCGGGGCTCGCGCGGTCTTGTGGTGTAAGTGGGGCAGGCACCGTGTGTGCAGACAGCATTGCTATTAATACCGTGGGGGTCACCCCCCCAACCACCTTCCTCTTCCCCCCCCCACCCATCACCGCATGTGTTAATGGCCACACGTCTGGCCCCCCCAACCACCAGCTGCCGGGGATCAACATCAAGGGCAAAACCTACGGCCCATTCTCCCCTGGCCGTAGTAGTAACAGGCGCCCACTAATAGAACAACGTGTCCCATATGCTCTGAGTAAGTGCCGCCAGGTTTCCGCTTTTTTATAAATTTTATGGGAGTTTTTGTTTGTGCAGTCATTGGTAACCGGGCATTGATACACTTGAGTACCTGGTTAAATCACAACTCTGTCTGAGTCTCTGAATCTCTACATGAGTCTGTGGGTCTCTATGTGAGACCATGGGTGACTGGCCTGAGACGATCATCTCGCTACACTTGAGAACCCGGATTTGAACCCAGGATCTCAGCGGTGCCGGCTCGGTTCCCCGACATGGCCATTGTGAGCCCCCTACATGTGTGGCCGTGCGTGCGTGAGCAGTGGCGAGCGGGAGGCAGGGGGCGTTGGTGCAGCAGAACGAGCGTCTCAGGGCAGCCGAGCGCCAGCTGCAGGTGACGGTCAACTCGCACGCGCACACTCGCACATGTACACACATCATTGAGGTTTTTTGGGTTCGATCGCGTAAATATATAAATGTGTCGTTAAACCCGCCACCACCCGACACAGCCAACTAGTAAGGGTTGTCAAGTAAACAGAACATGCCAATTCGTCACTAGTACAGCACACCGGTGTGTTGGAGACACATTTATATATTTACGCGATCTAACCCAAAATACCTCTTAGGGATGATATTGGTCGCGAAAGCCGACGTGTAAAACTGACATGTACACACGTTTAGAAACATATATACACACGTGTATACTCACACAGGTGTGTTGAACTTCTTTCACACTGTATGTAGCCAACCGTGCTAATTGGAGGTACAAGTATAAACATGTGCATGTCTATACACACATACATATGTTTATACTTCTAAAGATCTCCCATATAGCCTTTTAACAGACTATTGAGGCAAGTGCTGTTCGCGAGCACTGTTGAAGGCCGACATGGCACACGAAGGGTGAGGTGGGGCAGTACCACGCCCACACACATTAATACTCACACACGCACACACGTGTACACGTAGACATGTACACGTGTTTATATATGTCTCCCACACATGGACACGCACACACTCACAAGGTCACACAAGTGTGTACGCTCACACCTCGTTCTGCGGCGAGAAGTGATGGGAACGGCACCTTGTGTCCATGTGGGTGGGTGCTGATGACGTTGAGTGGTCTCTACGTGGAGCTGGCTGAGAACCCCGGTTGACAGACCTGGCCCCACCACATGCCAGAACTCACGGTGCATGTGTGTACTTGTGTGCGTGCATGTGCATGCATGTGCGTGCGTATGTATGCGTGTGTGTGTCCTCGTCTGCAGGCCGAGGTGACCGCCATGGCCGGGCGTTGGGAGGCAGAGCGTGGGGCCCTGTCCCAGGAGAACACCGCGTTGCGAGCGACGCTGATCCAGCTACGCCAAGAGGCCGGGCGATCCACTGTGGCGGCGAAGCAGGAGGGCCCCGGGGCCGCCACCGCACAGGGGCAGGAGGCCGCACGGGCGGCGGCGCGGGAGCTGGCGGCCGAGGGCCGCCGGCTGCAGGCCGAGGTTCGCCGGCTCCACCGGGAGCTGCGGGAGGAGCGTGCGGCCTCCGCGACCACCCGCGGAGAGCGCGACGCGGCGGCCGTGGCGCTGGAGGCCGAGGGGCGGCGCTCGCACCTGTGGGAGCGGCTCTACGTGGAGGCGCGCGACGCGGCCGCCGAGCATGGGAAGAGGAAGGAGGAGGAGGGGGAGGTGCGAGGGCCCGACCCCCGCCACCGGCTCTACGAGGACGCCAAGAACTCGACGAGGAAGCGCGCAGAGCGTGGGGCCGGGCAGGCGGAGTCCGACGCAAGCCGGGGCCGCGGCTGGGGAGGCCACGCGACCTCGGGGGCCGGGAGCGAGGCGAGGGCCGAGGCGCGGCAAGGGGACGGCCGGCGGGGGCAGGGGCAGGGGCAAGGTCAGGGGCAGGGCAGCAAGCGGAGAGGGGAAGAGCGGCTGAAGATGAAGGGGAGGGACTGGCGGGGCCCCGAGGAGTACGGGGCCCAGAGGGCGCATCCCCCACAGGGGCAGGGCCACAGCACGAAGCACAACGAGCAGCACAACCGGTGTCACGAGCAGCACAAGCAGCAGAGCTACAGGGCGTGGCACGGGAAGCCACGGCGCCACTGCGACCTGCACGTGGCCGAAGTGGAGATAGAGCTCGGGCCCCTGCCCTTTGGCCCTAAGTACTGACCCTGCATCTCGGACAATTGCCCCAGACCTCCCCATAGCTCTCCCTGCCTCCTCTTGCTTGATGTGCTTCTCATAGTTTCCTTCGACCATATCCTGTTTCCCTGCCTTTCCTTGTCTCCCCTGGACTTTCAATGTCTTCCTCTATATTCTATAGCCTCTGTTTCTCCCTCTAATCCCCCCCTCTCTCTCCTGATCTCCATCTTTTGTTTGTTATTGAGAAGTCCGCTTGCTTCACAATGCACAGTTGGATCTATTGCGACACGCAATATAGTTTAACTCCCATCTGGATTGATAATCTCATGGCCACGATAGGGCTAAGGGACACGATTCAGGTGACAGGTCAGAGTGTATGTTGGAGTTTATAGATTTGTATAGAGTTAATGACTGGGTCTGTTATAGTATTAGGGCATAGTATAGGTTAGGTCAGTAGCTAGGGACTGTGTTGGGTTCAAAAGATATGGTTATGAGCTAAGGGTTTTGTTTGGGCGAAGGCTTAATGGAGGTTAGGGGTTGGGCCTGTGTTTGGGGTTAGAGGTTCGAGTGCGAGTCAGTGCTAGTTCTCATCTCGTGCTGAACATGAGCACGTGTGGCATGGTGGCCCAAATTCACGTGTGTGAGAGTGAGTGTAACTGGGTGTGTATGAGTGTGTGAGTGAATTTTAAAAATTGTGAATGGAGCTGTGATTAGTCAAATTGGAAGGATGCCCTCGTGGGGTCCCCCCTTTTTAGGAAGAGGGACCACACTGATTGTAGCAACTACCAGGGCATCTCCCTCCTCAGTGTGCCGGGAAAGGTCCTGGCAAGGATTATTCAGCATCGCCTTGCCAGGCACACTAAGGAAAGGCATGCAGAGCCCCAATATAGTTTCAGAAAGGGGTGGTCCTGCACTGATCCCACATTCTCTGTCCGTCTGCTACAGGAGAGGTGTAAGGAAATTCAACAGGACTGACATCACTGCTTTATTGACTTGGTCAAGCCCAATGATACCATCAATAGGCCAGGGCTTTGGGTTATGTTATTCTTCATGCTATAAGGGTCCTTGGCTCTCTACTCACAATCATTAAGGATTACCATGATGGTGGACAGGCCTGGGTAAAGCTGCCTGGCCAGGAGTCAGAGCCAGTCCCTATTCATATGACCAGGTCAGAATCATAATATTTAGATTGGAGGAATCCAATGAGATATTAAGCTCTTTTTCACAGATGTCCAGTATATCACCTTTGGATGCAACAAAGATGTCCTCAGGCTCCTACATTATCTGACAGGTTTTTTGACCGTGGAGTTTGTGAAGATTTCCATCGCTGTTCCAGTGGAATATTTTTTCCGATACGATACAATTGGAGGCTGATCGATGCGATGGTCAAGGGACGGCTTCTCATTGGTCACCCATATAATGCATGCTGATGATCTGGTAATTGCTGCTCTGAGGAGTTGGAGACTGCTGCTGAACCTGGAGATTTCCACTAAGAGGTGTGGGGTCTTACCATCAGCCCCACAAAACAAAGCATCTGTCTGGGTATTTTAAATAAAAAAATACTCCACCCCATGAGTGATGGGGGTAGTTCTCGTAAGAACGGAGGAGTTCCTATACCTGGGTAGTGTGCTTATGACTAGTTAGAGTTTGGTATCAGAGGTCTCCAAATCAGTCGAGTGGCATCTATTCATCAGCTGCCTCAGGCTACGTGGAAGCTGTCTAGCCAGTCACTTAATATGAAGCTCTGGGTCTTCTCAACCACAGTTAAAGGAACATTTGTGCCAGTTCGAAATATTTAGGCTGGCCTGCCTGTGATCCATCCTAGATTGAACCAGACTGGATTGTTTGAGCTCGCATCCTTGAAAGATCTGGACACAGTCCCATCACTGAGCTCCTCTGGCAGATGAGGCTGTGTTGGCTGGGTCATGTAGCCCCCATGCCCTGCTACTGCACAGCCTAGAGAAGAGATTGGATCATGTGGTACAAGAGGATGTGGAGCTGAGTGGACTTGCCGATGACTGGTACCAGCGGTGTCAAGATCGGCCTCTGGAGTAGGCACGTGAAGGACGCTACTGGGCAGTTGGAGGCAGCCGCCCTCCAACAATAATGGAGGGTATATGAGCGACGCTCTCAACCGTTAGTGTGGCATCAGGCGGCTAAAACGCAGAAATTTGATAGTGGGGAGCACAGCTAATGCAACTGTTAAGTCATCTAAATTAACCCATAACATCTGGGCCTGTCCCGTGATCTGCTAGCAGGGATTCTTCAACATCACGTAGTCTCAAATTGCACCTCGCCTGGCACAAGCGATGGGTGGTGATGTCACTGCCACTTAACGGCGAATTGCGGCTGTTTGGTTAGTGTGCGATCAGATACAGACTACCCCCACCCCCCATTAGAGCCCACTCGGTAAATACTTAGGCCCCATCACGGCTCAGCTCTGGCTCGGCCGCTTGGCTCAGGCTCAGCTCACAGACATCTTGACCGTGGCTGGGACCATGGCTCACAGAGCCGACTCCCGTTAATTGCATGGCTTTAAGCTGGCTCACTTGAGCAAGAGCCGAGCCAGAGCCAAACCGTGGCTGAATACGGACCATAGTGAGGGCATTTTAGTTGAGGTTTAAAGACACTTTATACCCATGTAAGAGGACATGTAGCGTTTCGCCCTTCCCGACTCATTTGTTACGGCTGTGCTGCTATCTCTATGCTGTGTAAGAAATATAGCGTGCTATATAAACAAAGTGTATAATATATCCTGTGCAATGTGTCTGTGTCAGCTTTATTTACAATAACTCTGCAGGCACGGTGCCATGGGTCCATGGGGCCTGGGTTCCACCTCCTGGGTTCACATGAAGAGCATACAGACTCTGTGGTGTTTGTATCTCCCCCTTGCCTGCACGAGTTCCCTCTGGGTTATCTGGTTTCCTCCTTCAGCTTAAAAAAACCGTACAGGTTCCCCCTCGCTTTATGCGAGTTCGGTTTGTGCAATTTGGCGCATATGCGGCTAACCTAGTGCAGAGACGTAACCTGCAAATTACGCAATTGGGATCGCACACAGCAGCAACATCGTCCCCTGCTGTTAAAGATGTTGTAGCACCGTCCTTAAACAGATTCTCGAGACTCGGTGAGGCTTTCCTGGGTAAATAACCGGAAAAAATGTGGGCCTGGGTGAGTTTCCACGGCACAGACGGAGCCAGAGTAGGGCCTCTGAGAACCTGCGCCAAGGAGATGGAGCTGCAACACGGCCTTAGAGAGGCCCCAGCACGCAGAATGGGGGGGGGGGGGGGACGCTCTGTATAACATACACAAACTAAGACGCTCAGCAGGCTTGAGCTTGGATAGTAATTGGATGGGCTTCCAACATGCACACTAACAGAGGGCAGTGTTTCCCGATGCAATGTTATACTGCACTTCTGTGCTCCCCACCTTCACCAACCCGAATTGACCAGCGTAGTGAATTATGGTCAGATAACCCCCCGCGACCAACACGGCTTGGGTAGGTCCTCATCCAGCAGTGGATCGACTCAAGGACAATGTGCAAGTAGAGACTTAGGGGCCGTCCATAAATGACGTCACGCACCTGGGGGGGGGTCAGACATTTGTGACGAGGGAGGGGGGTTGAGAAATGTGACGTCACATCAAAACGCGCAACTTTAAATAAATATAGACAACACGTTCTACTTAATTAAATAGACTTTTTAATAAATGTTTTCTCCTACAACATCAGAGTGCAGCGCCACATTAAATACGCACTACAATGACAATAGTTTAAAGCGATTTGAAGCATGTTTTATTTGGGGGGGGGGCAGAGCTTTGTGACGTCATATTTGAGGGGGGGGGGGCTATTTTTTTGTGACGTCGTGTGACGAAGGGGGGGGGGGATCAAAAATCGTCCAAAATCGAGTGACGTCATTTATGGACGATCCCTTAGGCAACTTACTCCACACGGGGGGAGGGGGGAGCCGAGATAATTAATTCAAGCCACGCCCAGTCCCCGAGGCACCGCCCACGTGGAAGAAATCGTTGCCAGACGAGAGGTTTCACGTGGCACGCACACGTGGTTCTCACGGGAGCCCCGGGACGGGAGGTGCAAGTCCGAGCCCCCCACCCCCTAACAGGGGTCGAGAGAGAGAGAGAGAGGGGACCCCGAGGGAAGGAGGAAGTTACCGGGCAGAAGAAGAGCCGGAGGCCGAGAGGGGACAGGGGAGGCCGGGCAAGCAGAGAGGCCGCAGCAGGAGAGAGGGACACGGCAGAGAGAGAGAGAGAGAGTCGGGGAAAGGGGTCCTGGTAGCGGCCGTCTCGGGGTGAACGCGGCGGGTGGTGGTGGTGGAGCCGGTGGTGGTGGTGGAGCCGGTGGTGGTGGTGGAGCCGGTGGGGGTGGTGGAGCCGGTGGTGGTGGTGGGGGTGGTGGTGGTGGGGGCTCCACTGACCCCGCCATGTCCCTGGAGGTGACGGCGCTGGGCACGGGGGCCGCGTTTCCTTCCCCGCGCCGCGGGACCTCGGCCGTGGCCCTGCGGCTCCCCGACGGCTCCGTGTGGCTCTTCGACTGCGGCGAGGGGACCCAGACACAACTCATGCGCTCCCCGCTCAAACCCGGTACGGCACGGGGGTCCGTGGGGGTCCGTGGGGGGCCGCGTCTCACGCAGGAGCCTATAGGGGGCCCTTCGTGACCAGCACCCTCTCGGGGACAAAGGTCCCCCGTGTAGCCTTCACAGACTGCAGGGGCAGGTGCTGTTAACGAGGAGCTCCTGTGAAGGCCGGCACGGCACACGAGAGGGTGGGTGGCCAGCACCACGCCCAACCGCCTTTGTCTCACAAGTGGCGATGTTTACACACCGCACCAGCTACTCATTTGCGACTGAGTCGACCTAGGGGAGGCCCAGGACCGGTTTAGATAATCGTCACTGGTGTTGTCCGTGACCGGGAATCGAACTCGGGTCGCCGGGTTCGTAGCGCTAACCGCTGCACCACCGCTCCCCAACAAACGCAAGCACACAACGACTTGCAACAGTAGCAACGAGGCGGTGTCCATGAACTTGTATGACGCGCTCCACACGTGGGCCAGTGACGTCACAGGATACACACAAACCTCGTGTCTCGCACCCTCGACTGTTGATGTGAACTACAATGGGGGGTAGAGGTGTTGTGTGTTTTATCGCCTAAATATAAATGTGTCTTTAAACCCGCCGCCACCACCAACCACCCGACACAGCCAATTGGCAAGGTTTGTCGCGTAAACAAAACCGTGTCGTTGAGTTGCTACGACAGCAGCACACCGCTTGTGTGTTGGAGAGTGAATCCACTACAACATTTACAATTCGAGTGACGTTTCGCTGGCGATTACAACAACAACAACAGCAGCAGTCGGCTTCATCAGGCGATTTGCCAGAATAGTGAAGGAGTCTTCCTCCTGTTGCAGTCTTACATCGAGGGGCGAGTGAAGGAGACGTCGCCACTGTGAGCCTGTCTGGTGCTGCCCTTCCCACCTGCTAGGCTCCTTGGACTGCGAGGCGACCAGCGGATGGCAGTACGTCACACGTGTGGGTTGAATCCATCTGTGCGGAGTTCCCAGCGGCGGCTTTCCCTGGTGCCCCATGACCCCCAAACTCTCGCCAATGGCATTCGTGGCCAAATATCTCCAACGTCGAAGCCGCCTCTAGCGGAGGCCCCTCCACTTCGGGATGGGCGTACCGTATTCCCTGAATTATCAAACGCATCCCAGCCTCCACCCTGCCCGCGGGAGTTGTAAGGCACAAGTTAGAGGGTGCGTGGTATAATCTGAAGAATGCGGCAGTGGGCAGGGTCACACCGCAGCCTCGTGCTGCTCATTGAGTCGTCAGTGAGTCCACGCCAGAGTCCTGTAGCCCAGCAGCACTCGCGTGCTCCATTCATCGCGAACCCCGAGAAGCAGATGCCACTATTATGGTCCATTAGGAGCGCAGCACCACCTCCACTACCTCCACTACCTCCGTGTCCTCCCGACCACCTCCTCCACCACCAACACCTTCACCTCATCCGTGTCCTCCCCACCACAGGCCGGGTGACCAAGATCTTCATCACCCACCTGCATGGCGACCACGTGTTCGGCCTGCCGGGCCTCATGTGCTCGCTCAGCATGCTGGCCTTCGGGACGGCCGACGCGGCGGCCCCCCCGGACGAGGAGGCCCCCGCCGAGGGGCCCCGCGTGACCGCGGGGCCCCCGCAGCTGGAGGTGTTTGGGCCCGTGGGGCTGCGGCGCCTGCTGCGCGTGGCGCTGCAGCTGTCGCGCTCGCAGCTGGGGTTCCGCTTCGCCGTTCACGAGCTGCGGCCCAGCGCGCAGCAGTGGAGCGCGGCCGACAGCGGTGACTGGAGGCCGCCGGAGGAGGTGCGGGAGGATGATGGGTGGACACGTGACGATCGGGTTTAGGGTTCTAAACGGCGCTTGGGGCCACGTGAGATGAGCATCGGCTCAAACTGGGATGCTTCTAAATTTTTTTTTTTTTAAAGCTCATGATTGTAATGATTTAAAAAACGCGCCTAAAATTAAGTTAAGTGTAAGTTGTACGCTCATTATCTCGCAGAAGTGTAATATAATTAAATTATGCAGCTTGCGTTCATACAAGGCTTCTGCATGTGTACCTGTGTGTGTGAGGAGCGACCGTGTGGTGCAATCGAACTCGGCGACCCGAGTTCGATTCCCGCTCACGGCCAACGCCAGTCCCGATCATCTCAACTCGGCCTGAAATGAATAAGAACCCATTGCGGTGTGTAGTAAACATCGCCACTGGGAGACAAAGGCGGCCGGCCATGGTGCTGGCCACCCACCCCCTCGTGTGCCACAGTGCCGGCCTTCACGGCTGCTGCCCGCTAGCAGCGCTCGCCCCAGCGGCCTGTTGAGGATTGAGGGGGGCGTCTTTGTGCGTTGCAGGCAGGGGGGGCCCCGCACCCCCAGGAGGAGCCCGGCCGAGAGATCACGGAGGGCCCCCCCCAGGAGGAGGGGTTCCTCGTGTTGGAGGGGGGCCCCGGCGCCCCCTCCGTGCGAGCCTTCCCGCTGCGCCACTGCGTGCCGAGCTTCGGCTACGCCGTCAGGGAGCCCCCCAGGGCCGGGCGACTCCACGTGGAGGTGCTGCGCGGGCTCGGTGAGGGGGGGTGGCGGGGGGAGGGGGGGGGGCAGGCGGGGGGGGGGGGCAGGCGGGGGGAGGGGGGGGGGGCAGGTGGGGGGGGGGGCATCGTGGGTCCTCGGCACCGGGCCTGGGCTTCTCTTGATTGAGGGTGGTGGCGGTTGAGGTTTGGTGGCCTCAAAGTGCACCTGGCCTGGCACAGGCACCGTGGTGATGTCACCGTCGCTTCATTGGTATTGGTTGGGTAGCGAGTTATGGTGAGTGAGGGTGAGGTTGGCGCGTGGGGTTGGTGGGTGTGGATGGTGAGTGAGGGTGAGGTTGGCGAGTGAGGTTCGTGGTTGAGGTTGGCGGGTGAGGACGGGCGGCGGGTGACGGTGTTGACGAAGGGGGCCCGTGCCCCCGTGGCCCCTCTTGACGCGGTGTGTCACCCCCTTCCCCTCAGGTGTGCCGCCAGGGCCCCTGTACGGCCGCCTGAAGGCGGGCGAGGCTGTGACGCTGCCGAGCGGGAGGGTGCTGCTGCCGGGAGAGGTGGCGGACCCCCCCGTGCCCGGCCGCTTGGTCGCCGTGTTCGGCGACTGCTCGGAGCCGCTGGGCCCCGCCGCTCTGAGGCTGTGCCAGGTGCGCGGCGCTCCCCGCAACCACGCGGACAACAACAACAACAAGCGCGGCTCTTGTTGTTGTTGAGAGTCGCTTGTTTAACCAGGAAAGCCTCGCTTGAGTCTCAAGACTCGTTCAGGAAGGTCCTGCCAAGTGTTGTGGGGTGGTGTGGCCGGCACCGCGCCTACGGAGGGATGGTGTTTATACACACTACACTACACCAGGTACCTCGCAGACTCGGGAGCAGTTTAGATACCAGCCACTGATGTTAGGGAATCGATCTCGTTTCACCGGCGCAGTGTGCAAACCACTGCGTCACCACTCTCCAACGCTAAACGCTACACTCGCACCCACTCCTCTCTGCCTCTTTAGTGTGCGCATGTGGGGAGCGGCGGCGCAGCGGTTCGTAGACCGTGCTACACAACCGGTGCCCGCGTTGGATTCCCGACCACGGCCAACACCATTGATGATTAATGATCTAAACCAGTGCTGGGTCTCCCCTAGGTCGACTCAAACAGTACCTGGTGCGATGCGTAATCATCCCCACAGGGGAGATAAAGGTGACCAGGCGTGGTTCGGGCCACCCGTCCCATCGCGTGCCTCGCCGGGCTTAATAGGTGCTCGCTAACAGCACTTGCACCAACAGTCTGTTGAGGGGAGAATCTTGAATTGTAAATGTTGTGGATCTACTCTACAACACTAGTAACTAATTGGCATGTTTTGTAACTGGTTGTGTCGGGTGGTGGCAGGTTTAACGATGCATTCATATTGACGCGATCTAACCCACGTGTTTTTATTATGGGCAATAAACTAAAAACTATTTATATTTTACCAGGTGAGGCCCACTGAGCTATACAGCTCTTTTTCAGAAGTGACATGGCCACAAATGGAAGCTTAACGAAGTTGCTAATTACGTGGAAAATTATAAAAGCCAAATACTCTGAATGCATTTTGATTCTACATTTGGATGGAAAAAACGGAGGACCCAGATAAAAATCCACGCGACCACGGGAAGAGAGACACACAAACTCCAAATATACAGGCTTCAGGGTCGAGATCGAACCCACGACCTCCTGCATACCAGGCGAGCTAGTTAACATCTCCTAGCCACCGTGGCGCCCCACGAATCTTTCCCTTCTGTGGCGGGTGCAGGGCGCCGACCTGCTGGTGCACGAGGCGACGCTGGAGGACGGGCTGCAGGAGAAGGCCCGCCTTCGCGGCCACTCCACCCCGTCGGGCGCCGCCGCCACGGCGCTGGCGTGCGGCGCCCACCGCCTGCTGCTCACGCACCTCAGCCAGCGCTACCGGCCCGGCGGGCCTGAGGCGGCGCGGCTGCGCGAGCAGGCCGAGGCGCGGATAGCGCTCGCCGGAGACGGAGCCCGGTGCCAGGTCACGCTGGCCGAGGACCTCATGGTGGTGGACGTCCCTCTGAGGCAGCAGCAGCAGCAGCGGTAACGGCCGCAGCAGAATGCCGCAATTGCAACAGCAGCTGCAGTAATGTCCGTATGAACAATGGCAACAGCAGCATAAACAATGACCAGCGGCAGCTGCAGCAGCAATGCTATCTGCAGCAACACTACTACCAGCGGCAGCTGCAGCAACACTGCTACCAGCGCCATCACTCAGGGCGCGTAGTCGACTACCAAGCTGCCATCGGGAGCACGAGAGAAGTGGCCCAGCAGCATTCGCCAACTCCGGAGTTGTGGGGTCTGGGGGACTTTGGACGAGGAAAAAGGTGTGGCGGCATCAGAGGCACTGGTCACAGATTCCACCAATTGAGTAACTTGAAAGCTTTACTCAGGAAGTCCAATGTTACATTTTAAAGATTTATTTTCAGGACAGTTTTTTTGCCAATTCCTCGATAACAGCTCATGTGTTTGTTGTGGGGGAGAAAACAATGCCCAGAGAAAACCTACACAGGCATGGAGATCACTCAACCTATTTGCTGGACTGCTTTCTGTATATGTACACAACACGCATGACACTACATTCACACGTTGATTAATGGAACACGCAATACAAAGAAGACAGATTCCCCTATAGCCTCAACAGACTTGGGGAAAGTGCTGTTAGCGAACAGTAATGAAGACCGGCACGGCACACGAGGGGGTGGGTGGCCAGCACCACGCCCAACCGCCTTTGTCTCCCAAGTGGCGATGATTACGCACTTCGGGTAATTATTTGAGGCCGAGTCGACCCAGGGGAGGCCCAGGACTAGTTCAATGAATCGTCGTGTTTGGAGCATGAACTGCTACACTACCTCCCCACACTATTTACATGACACCACTCACACGCCCACCAGCTCCCAATGCGCAGACACACAGCACACCCCTCGATTTACACGGCAAACTACACGCACAAAGTGAATTCACCTTTCTGGCATGTTTATAAATTCCATGAACATGGATGCGTGTCAGTTTTTTGCGTGTTGTTAGCTTATTAATCAATGAATAATGGAATAAATGCAATGAGGTACATGACCATTTTTCTTAATGTTCAATGTATGCAAATTATTGTCCTTAAATAAAGCAAATTGCTTTGTGTCCAGTTGAGTACTGAGTGGTGATTCTAGATTTGAAGCTTTCGTGACTGCAAGGATTCATACTCTTAGGTCTTGTCGGTAAAGTCACGTAGGTGACTTTACCGATAGAACAGATACAGCAATTGTGCTGACTTCCACCTGAAGACGGAAGCTTGTGTTGCCTCCTAAACGTCGTGATTTATTATTTTATTTCTTATATTTTTATTATTATTTATTTTTTGCCTACATGACTTTACCGAAAAGACCTAAGAGTACTGAGTGGTGGCCAGAAGGTACGGTCTGTTGAACTTCTTTCGCACCCTACGTAGCCAACCCCGCCAATCGGAGGTGCGTGGCAAGGACAACCAAGAGACACGTTTGAGGTGGCCAGGAGATGGCGCGACACCAATGGAGTCCCTACATCTGTCTGTGGAGCCATCACTGCTGTGAGATTGTGATCAACTTCCTCACGTGATACTGCACCCATCTTTTAGGACCGTGGTGGACGACAAATGGGTCTGGGATTGGTGTTTGGGAAAGATGGGAACCCAGTTCTCATCGAACTCATTGAGCTCATTCTGCTCCAGCTGCTGCTGCTCCTCGAGCTGTTGATCATGTTTCTGGATCTGCTGCTTCTCCTGGAGCTGCTGCTCCTGCAGATTGTGTGCTGCAGGGTTGTGCGCTGCTCTGCTGTACGGCTGTGTGCTGTTGCAGGGCTGTGTGGTGCTGGGCTGTGTGGGTGCAGGGCTATGTGCTGCAGGGCTGTGTGGTGCAGTGCTGTGTGGTGCTAGGCTGTGGTATGGCCAAGGGGTCTGACCATAATAAACGCTGCCCTCTTTGTTCCACGTGATCAGGCGGCGGTGGAGCCAATGGGAGCCCGCCGGCTTAATATTGGAAAGAGGCTCGGGTCTTGAACCGCTCGTGGAGCCTCAATTCACCTTGCCTGGTAAAGGCACCGTGGACATGCGTGCAGGATGGTGCAGGACCATGGTCTCCACGTGTCTGGCGTGACCAAGAACAAAACTGAAGAGCTGATGATATTAGGATACTTTGAGGTCAGATCTTATAGGTTGCATGTTAAATGTGCACGCAGCTTCGAAATCTGGAAGGTAGAAAATGTTGGTAGCAAGGTGTGGTGGCATCTGCAGCTTTAACCATGCTGGCATATTAACCTTGATCGTAGCCACATTACCAGCAAACGGAACAGTGCAATGTTACAAAGATCTGTGTTTATTAAAATCACTCCCGAGACGCGACCTTCGGCTATGACGACAGAAAACAGAGACGGTGTTGCCCCCGACTTGACTTCCCAGAGCGGAGAACTCCCTCAAGATTCTCTAGCTCTGTGGATGGGCAGCAGTAGTAATCTAATGCCTCTTTTTTCCCCACCGCACGTGCGATCCAGCCTAGCGCGAGGTTGTTTCTCCACTGCAGAACCCGAGCTGTGCTGACGACGACGTCACAATGAGCCAAGACGCACGTGCATGCCAATGCATGACTAAATATTTCGCATTTCCTGAAGCGTGCACTTAAACCCCGGCTCTGACCCCGCTTGGCCCCCGGGGCCAGAGTTTTCCGAGTTTGGTCCAGCTCAGTGGAAAACCACCCGTACTGTGCGGGTCCCTCGTCAGCACGGCCCGGATGTGACGGTGCAAAAAAGGGGGCATAAGAAACTGGTTGGCGGGGAGACGTTTTACTGCGGGAGGAGAGGGGGTCCCCGCATCTGGACCTGCGGAGGAGGGGGCCGCATCCCGCGCGGGGGAGGCGGTGGGGGCCCACGAGGGAAGCCGAAGGGAGGCGGCCGTGGGGGGGCTCCGTATCCCATGGGCGGCATGTGGTGGGGGGGGCCCCTCATGTTCGGAGGAGCGGGGCCTGGGGGCACAAACACAGACGATGCAAGGGGTTAGAAGGCCGACGCGGCGAGAGACACGGTGGCGCGTGTGATACGGGAGACGTGCGACGACCGAGACGCAGGTGAACGCGGCACTGACTTGTGCAGTTTGTCATAAACGGCACGCGGTCCACCATACATACCCATTGGGGGGCCAAAGGGGGGCCCACGATGCGGCATGCCCATGTGTGGAGGAGGGGGGCCGTGGGGCATCGAGTGAGATGGGGGCCGGGATGGGGGGCCCTGACCCCCAACCGACACGGGCGGAGCCGGGGGAGGGGGCACCATGCCCATGCTGTGGGGCGGCATCACCCCCATCGGGTGCATTCCTACAGCAAGACGCGGCAGCAGAGGCGACCATCAGAAGAGACCACAGATACAGCACTGAGACAACAATCAGTCTACAAGCAAAGACTAAAGACATGATGACAACGATTACAGACGGAAACCACCGGATCTATTACTTCACCCGCCGTATGACCCACAACCTCACCCGTCACATCACCCACCACCACAATAATTGCATGACCGATCACTTCAACAATCACATAACCCATCTCACCAATATCATCACCCGTCACCTCACCAATCGCATGACACATCACCTCAACCATCGCATGACATCACCTGACCCATCGCATGACACATCACCTGACCCATCGCATGACACATCACCTCACCCATCGCATGACACATCACCTCACCCATCGCATGACACATCACCTCACCCATCGCATGACACATCACCTCACCCATCGCATGACACATCACCCGCTGCACAACTCCCTCGTGCTGGTTCGGTTACCTGGGTGGGGCATGACGGGAGGGAAGGGAGGCGGCACGGGCGGCGGGCCCGAGGAGTGCGGGTGGCCGGGGCTGGGCGAGGGCCCCGCCGAGCTGCTGGCGGACATGCCGTGAGACATCATGGCGCCCGACATCGTCATCCCGGGAGGCAGAGAGCCGGGCATCGGAGCCGGCGGGGGAAGCCCTCCCATCATAGACATTCCTGCGACGGCAGAGTCCAGGCCACGTTAGAACGCGCGTGCAAGCATCTCTCGTAGGCACGCACACACACATGGTCTCTCATCTATATGTAAATATGCGCACACACACAAACACAGCTGCCATTCGCCACTAAGTGGTTTTGACTTCACAGCGATTTCCCAGCCTATGTGCACTTTGACAGATGCACCGCTTGTGCTCCCCACAGTGCCATCGTGCTCTGTTGTAGCCACCTGACGCATTGCTCATTGTTGCGAGCGTCGCTCACACCTCCGATTAGCACGGTCGGCTATGCACGGTGTAAAATAAGTTAAAAATAAATAAATACATGTTCCTTCGCCCTCCCGTTTTTGTTAGAGGGCGACTGCCTCAAACTGTCCGGTAGCATAGTGTCCCTCGAATGCACAATCAGACATGAAGTGTTACTCATTACCACCATCTCACATACACAGTGTCTCATACACACAGTAACATATACACACAGTGACACAGAATGAACCACACACACGCACTGACCATCACACAGTATGCTGCACACGCACAGATTCCCTGGGTAAGCGACACACACGCACTCTTCAGGCAAGAGCTGTTGTCCAGCACTTATTAAGGGCAGCAACGGCTGACGAAGGAGGTGGCGTGGAAAGCACCGCCAGCAGCAGCAGCACGAGCTGCAAACTCACCAACAACCAAATGTGCTCACACAGACAAAAATTCCCCGTGTAGCCTAAACAGACTGTTGGGGCAAGTGCTGTTAGCGAGCACCTACGAAGGCCGGCGCAGCACACGAGGGGCTGGGTGGCCAACACTACACCTGGCCGCCTTTGTCTCCCTAGTGCCGATGTTAACACATTGCACCAGGTACTCTTTTGAGGCTGAGTTGACCTAGAAGAGGCCCAGGACCGGTTCAGATAATCGTCGGTGGTGTTGGCCGTGGGCAGGATTCGAACTTGTGTCGCCAGCTTCGTAGTGCAGCGCGCTAACCGCCCCACTACCGCTCCCCACACACACACGCGCACATCCACACGCGCACACGTTTGGCATCCGCACGGCACGAGCAACGGCCCGCTCTCACCGGGCGGCGGCATGGGCATCCCAGAAACGGGCACGGAGGGGGCCTGCGGGGGTGGCGGCGCGTCGGCGAACAGCTGGTGGGGGCGGTCCGCCTGCGAGAGCGGGTTCTGCGCAGCGAGCAGGCGCTCGGCGGCCGAGCCATGGCGCTCGCCCTTCGAGTCCTTCTTGAACGCGTACGAGACGGAGATGGGCCGGTTGCACAGGTACTGCCCGTTCATGGCCTCGATGGCGGCGTCGGAGGCCTCGAAGCTCGCGAAGTTGATGAAGGCGTAGCCCTTCGAGTTGCCCGTTTCAGGGTCGCGCATCGTCTTGGGGGTCTGCAGGATGACGCCGAACGCGCTGAACGTGTCGTACAGCAGCTTCTCGTCGATCTCCGTGTCCAGGTTCCCGATGAAGATGTTGGCGCCCACGTCGAGGTTCTTGTTGTGGGCCGACGCTTTGTTGACGCGGATCGGCTTGCCGTACAACTTGATCATGTTCATGATTTTAATCGCGTAGTCGGCATCTTCTTCGCCGAGGAATTCGACGAAGCCGTAGCCTGCGACGGAAAGATGGACGCGCCGTTAACGTCGACACAGGCGTCCCGCACAACTCACATTTTAAATGCAGTGCCCTGTAACGTGACAAACATCTGAGGGTGCACAGGACTTGAACCTCTCAAAATGGGGTTGTGCTGTCTCAGCTGCGCTGGCAGACGCAGCCGTTAACAGTCGGCCCGATATAAACCAAAATCGCCACCGAAACGAATTATATCGGCATCGCCGACACGTTTCCGAGTCTGGCCAGGTGGCACCAGATCTCCCCTTCTTACGCCAACACTTGCATCCACCAGGCAGCCTGGCTCCTCCACAAGTCCACCGACCCCACATGCCCACTAGGAATCATAATCGATCCCCTACTACTGAATCCGGACTCCAGGCTAGGAATCACGAGAATTGTCCAGTTCTAATAAGCTGGTGGCACAGTTGGTCGTGGCCTATGGGTGCTGGAGACACACGAATGGCACTTGGATAAGGTGAGTGCGTGACGATGTTTGTGATGCGAGTACTCGATGTATGTTTGCGATGAGAGGGCTTGACGTGTTTGTTGTAGCTAACGGTGTTGTGTAGAGTGGGAAGCGGTTGTGTAGTGGTTAGCGCACTGTGCGACGACCCCACCGACCAAAGTTAGATTCGCGCTCACGGCCAATATTCAGTCACGAATATCAGAACAGGTGCTGGGCCACCTCTAAATATACTCAGTACTAAATGAGAACTTGATAAAGGTGGCCAGGTGTGGTGTTGGCCACTCACTCCCTCCTGTGCCGTGCCAGCCCTCAAAGGTGCTCGCAAACCGCACTTGCCCCCAGAATGTGTGAACGGCTGTATGAGGGATGTTGCTTGTGTGTTATGAAGGTGGTTTCAGTGAAAGTTTGTGATGTGGCTGGTTACTGCGAGTGGTTCAAGGGGCTGGCTGCGTTGTCGGTGGTTAACGTCGATGTTTGTGATGTGGGACCGCACCTTGGTGTTGCTGAGTGATGCGGTCTTTGGGCATGTGGGTGTTTACCACCGGCCCTGCCTGCAGAAAGAGCTCCCATAGTAGCGCCTCGCTCACTTTGTCGTCTAGTCCACCAACGTACACAGTGGCATCTGCAACAGAGCAGCAAGACACAGCACAGCATTAGTTAGCGAGGTGACCATGACCAAATTACCTTGAATGATCACAGATGACGAGGGCAAAGCCGGTTTGTGCCTGGATAGCAGTTGTATGGGAGACCATGAAGCGGCACAAATGTCACAGGCTGCGGGGAGACTGCGCTGTCGGCAGCAGAGTGCATTGCAGAAATAAGCAATTGTTCTACTGTACTTCTATGCTCCAACGTCCGTGCCCCCGCCAAAACCAACCCGCAAATGCACCCAGGGTGCGATAGTTGAAGATCTGGGAGACGTAACAAGTGAAATGAGAGATGTGGGGAATCAAGAGGGCGGTGAGAGGGGGGTTGACGGAGAGATGAGTTTGGATTGCCCAAAGAAAGCAAAGTAGAGGGCAGCGTGCTGCAATAAAGAGACGGGGGGAGCGCAGAGAGAGAGAGTGGAGGGAGAGCAGGGCGGAGTAATAATGAGTGGGGAGATGAGGGAGTGGAGGCAACATCGTGAGAGTCCTCCAGTCGGGAGAGGAGGCTGTGGAGAGGGGAGATGACAGCGAGCGGGGGGGGGAGTGGAGATGGCACCAAGGGAAGGGAGAGTGGAGATGGCAGTGAGGGAAGGGAGAGTGGAGATGGCAATGAGGGAAGGGAGAGTGGAGATGGCAGTGAGGGATGGGAGAGTGGAGATGGCAATGAGGGAAGGGAGAGTGGAGATGGCAGTGAGGGATGGGAGAGTGGAGATGGCACCAAGGGATGGGAGAGTGGAGATGGCAGTGAGGGATGGGAGAGTGGAGATGGCAGTGAGGGAGGGAGAGTGGAGATGGCAGTGAGGGAAGGGAGAGTGGAGATGGCAGTGAGGGATGGGAGAGTGGAGATGGCAGTGAGGGAAGGGAGAGTGGAGATGGCAGTGAGGGATGGGAGAGTGGAGATGGCAGTGAGGGAAGGGAGAGTGGAGATGGCAATGAGGGAAGGGAGAGTGGAGATGGCAGTGAGGGAAGGGAGAGTGGAGATGGCAGTGAGGGATGGGAGAGTGGAGATGGCAGTGAGGGATGGGAGAGTGGAGATGGCAGTGAGGGAAGGGAGAGTGGAGATGGCAGTGAGGGAAGGGAGAGTGGAGATGGCAGTGAGGGATGGGAGAGTGGAGATGGCAATGAGGGAAGGGAGAGTGGAGATGGCAGTGAGGGAAGGGAGAGTGGAGATGGCAATGAGGGAAGGGAGAGTGGAGATGGCAGTGAGGGAAGGGAGAGTGGAGATGGCAATGAGGGAGGGAGAGTGGAGATGGCAGTGAGGGAAGGGAGAGTGGAGATGGCAATGAGGGAGGGAGAGTGGAGATGGCAGTGAGGGATGGGAGAGTGGAGATGGCAATGAGGGAAGGGAGAGTGGAGATGGCAATGAGGGATGGGAGAGTGGAGATGGCAGTGAGGGAAGGGAGAGTGGAGATGGCAATGAGGGAGGGAGAGTGGAGATGGCAGTGAGGGAGGGAGAGTGGAGATGGCAATGAGGGATGGGAGAGTGGAGATGGCAATGAGGGATGGGAGAGTGGAGATGGCAATGAGGGAGGGAGAGTGGAGATGGCAGTGAGGGAAGGGAGAGTGGAGATGGCAATGAGGGAAGGGAGAGTGGAGATGGCAGTGAGGGAAGGGAGAGTGGAGATGGCAATGAGGGAGGGAGAGTGGAGATGGCAATGAGGGATGGGAGAGTGGAGATGGCAATGAGGGAAGGGAGAGTGGAGATGGCAGTGAGGGAAGGGAGAGTGGAGATGGCAATGAGGGAGGGAGAGTGGAGATGGCAATGAGGGATGGGAGAGTGGAGATGGCAGTGAGGGAAGGGAGAGTGGAGATGGCAGTGAGGGAGGGAGAGTGGAGATGGCAATGAGGGATGGGAGAGTGGAGATGGCAATGAGGGATGGGAGAGTGGAGATGGCAATGAGGGAGGGAGAGTGGAGATGGCAGTGAGGGAAGGGAGAGTGGAGATGGCAATGAGGGAGGGAGAGTGGAGATGGCAGTGAGGGATGGGAGAGTGGAGATGGCAATGAGGGAAGGGAGAGTGGAGATGGCAATGAGGGAGGGAGAGTGGAGATGGCAGTGAGGGATGGGAGAGTGGAGATGGCAATGAGGGAAGGGAGAGTGGAGATGGCAATGAGGGATGGGAGAGTGGAGATGGCAATGAGGGAAGGGAGAGTGGAGATGGCAGTGAGGGATGGGAGAGTGGAGATGGCAATGAGGGAAGGGAGAGTGGAGATGGCAGTGAGGGATGGGAGAGTGGAGATGGCACCAAGGGATGGGAGAGTGGAGATGGCAGTGAGGGAAGGGAGAGTGGAGATGGCAGTGAGGGAAGGGAGAGTGGAGATGGCACCAAGGGATGGGAGAGTGGAGATGGCAGTGAGGGATGGGAGAGTGGAGATGGCAGTGAGGGAAGGGAGAGTGGAGATGGCAGTGAGGGAGGGAGAGTGGAGATGGCAGTGAGGGAGGGAGAGTGGAGATGGCAGTGAGGGAAGGGAGAGTGGAGATGGCAGTGAGGGAAGGGAGAGTGGAGATGGCAGTGAGGGAGGGAGAGTGGAGATGGCAGTGAGGGATGGGAGAGTGGAGATGGCAATGAGGGAAGGGAGAGTGGAGATGGCAGCGAGGGATGGGAGAGTGGAGATGGCAGTGAGGGAGGGAGAGTGGAGATGGCAGTGAGGGATGGGAGAGTGGAGATGGCAATGAGGGAAGGGAGAGTGGAGATGGCAATGAGGGAGGGAGAGTGGAGATGGCAATGAGGGAAGGGAGAGTGGAGATGGCAATGAGGGAAGGGAGAGTGGAGATGGCAATGAGGGAGGGAGAGTGGAGATGGCAGTGAGGGAGGGAGAGTGGAGATGGCAGTGAGGGATGGGAGAGTGGAGATGGCAGTGAGGGAAGGGAGAGTGGAGATGGCAGTGAGGGATGGGAGAGTGGAGATGGCAGTGAGGGAAGGGAGAGTGGAGATGGCAGTGAGGGATGGGAGAGTGGAGATGGCAATGAGGGAGGGAGAGTGGAGATGGCAGTGAGGGATGGGAGAGTGGAGATGGCAATGAGGGAGGGAGAGTGGAGATGGCAGTGAGGGAGGGGAGAGGATTGGGCGCCAGAGAATCGGGAGCGGAGTTTGGGGGAGTACAGTGCGGTACAGTGCGTAGCGGCGCGTAGGAGAGGGAGCAGAGTGGGCAGTGAGCACAGGAGAGTAGAGAGAGAGAGTAGAGCAGGGAGAGAGTAGAGTAAGGAGAGGGTAGAGGAGAGAGTATAGTAGAGAGTAGGGAGTAATGAGAGAGTAGAGTAGGGAGAGACTAGATGAGAGAGTAGATGAGAGAGTAATGAGAGTGTAGAGTAGATTAGAAAGTAAGGAGAGAGGGTATAGTAGAGAGAGTAGAATAGAGAGTAGAGTAATGAGAGAGAGTAGATGATAGAGTAAAGTAATGAGAGAGTAGAGTAGAGAGAGTAGATGAGAGCGAGGAGACCCACCCTGGTTTCGCTCCGAGATCGGCCCGGCCGCCATTCTGTTCCGCGAGGCCCGAGTCGCGCTCTGCGCATGCGCGCGGGGGTCGGAGGTCACGTGACGCGTGCAACTCGCGCTGCGTACGCGACGTAATGACGTCACGGCGTGCCGGTGCGTGATGACGTCATCGCGTTTTTATAATTATTTTGCGGGCAGTCCTCGACTTACGTACGGGTTCCGTTCCCCGTTTCGTGAGCCGATCAGTTCGTAAGTGGGAACACAACAACGGGGCGCGCACGCAGTCATCGACTTACGAACGCGCGTCTTTACGAACAGCCCGCGCTTACGAACCAACTTTCATGAAATCCGTAGCTTTTTAATGACATTGACTTCATACGCAAAACTCCTCCTTGCAAACTGAACCGCGGGACTATTTTGTTCAGGGGAGCGATCCTCCGCGAATTGGACTGAGTCGTGCTGGGAGAAAGCGTACACGTGTGTGTGTTTGTGCACGTGTGTTTTTGTGCACATGTGTGTGTTTGTGTGTGTGTTTGTGCACGTGTGTGTTTGTGTGTGTGTTTGTGCACGTGTGTGTATGTGTGTGTGCACGTGTGTGTTTGTGTATGTGTTTGTGTGTGTGTATGTGGGGGGAGCGGTGGTGTAGCGGTTAGCGCGCTGAGCTTCGAACCCGGCGTCCAGAGTTCGATTCCTGCTCACGGCTGACACCAGTGACGATTATCTGAACCGGTCCTGGGCCTCCGCTAGGTCGACTCAGCCTCAAATGAGTACCTGGTGCGGTGTGTAAACATCGCCTCTGGGGAGACAAAGGCGGCCGGACGTGGGGTTGGCCACTCACCCCCTTTGTGTGCCGTGCCGGCCTTCATAGGTGCTCGCTTACATAACTTGCCCCAACAGTCTGTTCAGGCTATACGGGGGATCTTTATCTTTGTTTGTGCACGTGTGTGTGTTTGTCTGTTCAAGCTATACGGGGGAGCCAGAGGACATCCCACCCCAAGGTGTACAGGGAAAGGCTCTGACTCCCGGCCACGTAGTTTAACCCGGGCCCGCTCACCATCATGAAGGTCTTTAATGATCGTGAGCAGAGGGTCAGGGACCCCGGAAGCACGAAGAACAACTCAGAGCCCACGCACACACAATTTCACACACAATTTCACACACACGCGCACACACTCAGCAATTCTATTCTTAGCCACACGGTGGCAGTAGCAACAGCAGCGTGATTCAGGATCTCGATATCAAATGTCGAGTTCTGCTGCTGCCCACGATGAGAAGGGCTTCAGCAGAGAGAGAGTTTTGTGTCGTTTTGCTGTTGCTCCTCCATTGCAGGAGCGCAGGCGACAGTGGTTTACTGTGTGGCCCATAGTTTGGGTTTGCATGGCCACAGCCGCACTTATATGGCTTGTGTCTTTAACGCATCTCTCTGTGTCACTGTGTCTCTATGTGCCTCTGGGTCTCTATGAGTCTTTGTGTCTCTATGGTTTACTATATGGTCCATAATTTGGGTTGCATGCCCACAATTGCACTCCTGTGGTTTTGTCTTTAACGCATCTCTCTGTGTCGCTGTGTCTCTATGTGCCTCTGGGTCTCTATGAGTCTTTGTGTCTCTATGGGTTTACTGTGTGGTCCATAATTTGGGTTGCATGCCCACAATTGCACTCCTGTGGGTTTGTCTTTAATACACCTCGATGTATCTTCGAGTCCGTCTCAAATGTGTCTATCGGTCGCTATGTATCTCTATGAGCTCCGTGTGTCTCCATGTATCGCGACCTGTGGGTGAGCGGGTGAGTGAATGTGTGGTTGAGTCGTTTGGTACACCGGTGTTGTGGAGGAGTGATTTCAAAGGCAGGAGAATGTGCAATGTTTGGGTCTGGAGCGAGGTGTTAATTCTGAACCTCCATCATCAACAGCCGTGGTCACTCCACGGCTTGATGAACGCCTCCCCACACACGGTCACCAACTTTCACGATCATGCGAGGCCACAATTGTTCTCTCTGAACGTTGTCATAACGCTCCGAATCATGGGACCTTCCTTGCCAGTATCAAAATATAAGAATGTTTTACCCTTTCTGGAAATAAAACAGGCATGAAGATTTTAAAATACCAAACAGAAACCTTTTGCAAGGAATCATGTCTGCATTGACTACATATTTGTGGTGAACATGCAAACGTAAAAAAACATGCTCTGGTAATATATGCATCGTCTTTGAAACTGATTGGTCCACACCAATGACAGATTTCTTTCGAGCCTCGTCTCAAACAGTGTTAGACCAGAGGACGCCAAAAGGCGAACAGCACAAAGGCAATGCACTGTCGGGGCAATGCGAGCTTATATTACCGGACAATGTTTTTTGTTTGCATGCTCACCACAGGTATATGTGGTTAATGCAGACATTATTCCTTGCAAAAGCTTTCTGTTTGGTGTTTTAACATCTTAACACCTGTTTTATTGCCAGAAAGGATAACACCTATTATTCTTAGAACTCTCCGAATAACCACGTGATCTCTGGGACAACGTTGGCATGTGGTTTGCAGAACGTTTGCCAACATTTGCAATCAGCAATCGCCCCAGGAACACGGCTTATTTTGTGTAACCGCCTGTGTCCAACCGTTATTTTATTTTTATTAGAAAAAGTAATATTCGTGGCTTTTACAAAACAAAGGGTGCAGTGTTGGATTCAAGATAACCAGATAAACATATCCATTCATCCTGAGTCCAACTTCACAATCAATTATTTCCTGCAAACGGATCGTGTCAGCAAATCTGAGCTGGTTAATGTTTTGTCCATTTACGTATGTTTGCCTCTTATTTCCCAAATGCAATATTAAGGACAAACATCTCATGTCCCCCATAACAGCAGCCTGTCAAAGCATATATTCTATTAAGCTTTGTGTCGTTTGAAGTGATGTACCGTCAGTGTATCTGTTCCAGCTCTATTATGGCTTTGGCAATTCCTTTATGCTTTATTAAATAATACATTACATTTCCCAAAGTGCCTTTCAACTCGGTACGCAAGGCACTGCACATCACTATACATACCACTGGCCAAGGGGTAGCAAAACTAAGGAGAAATAAACAGCGGCTAATCGAGAGAACCGAAAGCGAGAGAGAATAAGTGCGTGGCGAGGAAGGGGGTCTAAACCGCGGCGCCGTTCGTCTTCCGAATGTGCGAGCAGCACTTGGCGAGGCGCTTGCTCCACGGCCGGTGAGTAGCTCAGCAGCAGCAAGAGGAGGAGCAGCAGCAGCAGGAGGAGAAGGCAGGTCACCCGGAGTGTGCACAGGGGGAGCCGGCTCCGAGGAACGCACAGGGAGGCACCGGCCATCAAAGGACGAAGCCTTAGGGATGATGGCCAAACATACGGGGGCGGTCAGTAAATTTGAGATAACCTGCTATCCACTTTTTTGAGAGCCTTTAAAGGTCAAAAGGAGACCAGGTGAGACATATTTGTATGAAGACACCCATTGACTCGTGGGAGCTTGAGTGGCTGGAAAAGAACGGCGGTGATATGGACGATGTTCAACAAGGATGGACGCACCGATTAAGAGGGCGTCAGAAGACGGCAACCACGTTGACAGCTTTGGGGTCAAGCACCGTTTCTACACAGATGACGTCCGACTCTTCGCCTCCATCGATTCCACAGACGCCTCTGCACTTCAGAGGCTCTGCGGAGTTCACCGCCAGCCTGCAGCAGTGGCCTCTGGGCCCACGGTCTACCCTTGAATGTTTCCAAATCCGATGTCGTCCCGATTGACACCACGCAGCGCCTCACCACATCCATGCTCCCTTTGAGCATTTTCATCGCTGGCTCCGGTCCACGCACCAGGTCTCCTGGGATGAACTACTAAGGAGGTCTCAACGATGCACATACTGTCGTCCTCTTCTGCTGTGGAGAAAACTATCTTGGTTGCCACTCTGACTGGATTAATATGAGGACGAAACAAACCCCTGTCCCTGGCCCCTCCTCCCTCTCGTGGCTGCTGCTCTCTGAACGAGTCCAGAGCTTTCTGAGATCATCCTCCTGAGTGCACTGAAGCCCTGACACTGCGCTGGTAATAAGTTAACATGCTCTTTTAAATATGTTCCTAGTTTGTATAAGGCTCAAGATATCAAAAACAAATACTCATTATTTCATATAAAATTTTTGTACAATATTTTCGTATCATTGCATCATTGTACTTTATTACTTTTGTCATTTTAGTGACTCCGGCCACTGTTGCAAATGAGACTAACATGGTCTCTCGATTCGCACCTGGTTAAACAAAACCAAAGCTGAACCCAGCCGTTGGCTGCTTAAACAATTGGCTGCTGCATATCGCCAACTTGCCAAGCGTCAGGCTGCCAATTTCGAAACCCTTTACCACACATGGATTTGAAAAGACGAGCCGTAACACTCTGCAACGTCGTTTAGAAATCACATCGCGGCAATGGTCGGTATGCAGCAAAAGGGTTTAAACATCGACAGCCTACCAATTCAATTGGCTGGGTTGCAGTCGCATAACGAGCGTCGGGGGGCAGGCCCCGTTGACAACCACCCTGAGATTTGTTTTCAACAACAGTTTCAAAGAACAACTGATTTAAAACGGGGTTTACATTTTTTAAAATAAAAATGCGTTTCACGTTTTATTTTAATTTAATTAGAGCAGTAACGTTTGGTGACTGTGTGAGACAAATCCAATATTGGGGCCCCACCCGACCGATTGCCGCACCCCCCGAGCTGATAATGTCGTGACTACGCCACTGCTGGGTTGGCAAAGAAGAATATTGCTTTGAAGAGCCCAGACGCCGGGAATCACGCTCCCAGAGGCCGGGAATCACGCTCCCAGACACTGGGAATCACGCTCCCAGACACTGGGAATCACGCTCCCAGACGCTGGGAATCACGCTCCCAGACGCCGGGAATCACGCTCCCAGAGGCCGGGAATCACACTCCCAGACACTGGGAATCACGCTCCCAGAGGCCGGGAATCACGCTCCCAGAGGCCGGGAATCACGCTCCCAGACACTGGGAATCACGCTCCCAGACACTGGGAATCACGCTCCCAGAGGCCGGGAATCACGCTCCCAGACACGCCAGGAATCACGCTCCCAGACACTGGGAATCACGCCCAGACACTGGGAATCCCACTCACAGACGCCAGGAATAACGCTCCCAGACGTCAGGAATCACGCTCCCAGAAGCGGATAAGCTGGAAGATTGCTTGGAACCCGGACAGACACAGTTGGAATTTGGCCATCTACGTGCTGCCAGCGTGTGCGGCGCTAAGCCAAGTTAAGTCATTGAGATTTCTTAGTTCAGTCGCGGGAAACGCACCGCAGCAAGGAAACAAAACAAGCCAAACCAGCCAATCCTTTCTCAAAACCTGCACAGCTGCTTGTTCTTCCACAGTTACCCACCTGGGTCACACACCTGGCATCCCCTGTGAAGCCCACACACGTGTGTGGCCAACGTGGAGGAAAGGCGGAACTGTGGACTCCGCCGCCCGTCGAGGGTTGTCTCGCTCACGGTCTTGGTGTCTCGGTGTCTCGCACACAGTTTCTCGCTCACAGTCTCTGTGTCTCTATTTACAACCTCAGCAGGAACGTGTGCAGGGTTCCACCTCTGGGGAACCCAGCAAACGCAGGGAGAGGCTTCCAGCGTTCCGCCTCGATGGCGTAGGGCATCGCAATCATGCGGTTGAGCGTGAACACTCGGTCGCCCTTCACGACCGAGCAGAACAGCGTGCCCTTGCTGTTCATGTACTGCCCGGCCAGCGTCGTCCACGCCGCGCTGCTGATGTTGTAGCGGTCGATGGCGCAGTGCAGGAAGTCGTCGTAGGGCCCGTTGCGGATCACGTAGAGGTTGTCCCTGTGGGCCACCATGCAGTGGCCGTAGCTGTGCGGCTTGACGAGCGTGGCCAGGCGGCGCCAGGCCTCTCCGTCCGCGTCCAGCTCCGAGATGGTGGTGGTGTCGAGCGGCTTCCACAGGCACACGAAGGCGCGGCCCAGCGTCGTGGCGCAAGCCGCCCCGGCGGCCGCCTGGGGGAGCGGCGCGCAGGGCGACCACGCCTCGGCGCGCTCGTCGAAGCTCTCCACCGTCGCCAGCTTAATGCCGCTGTGCTCGCCGCCGATCGCCAGCAGGCGGTCCCGGTGGGCCAGCAGCGCGAGGTTGTAGCGCGGCTGGTTGGGGCCGGCGAGCTCGCGCCACACCCTCCGGAGCGGGTCGTAGCAGAAGGTCGTCTCCACGGGGTCGCGTTCCATCCCGCGGATCCCTCCGACCAGGTAGAGCTTGTTGTTTAGCACGGCGATACCCGCCAGCGCGGAGCTCGCGCTGCAGGGAAGGGCCGTGACCGCCTCCCAGCGGTTGTGGACTTCGTCCAGGCAGCAGACGGTGCGCGACTTGTCGTCCAGGTAGGCGTTCGACGAGGAATACGTGCCGACCGCCGACAGGCGGCTCGGCTGCAGCGCGGACACGTGAAGCCGGTGCTCCTCGGACAGGAGGCTCAGCCTGCTCGCGAAGCGCGGCTCGTCGAGCACGTCCCGCACAAAGTGAGCGGCGCAGCGGCGCGCCCGCTCAACGCCGTACTCGCTGGCGGCGACGAGCATCTCGACGCAGTTGTCCGAATCTACCGCCGCGCTCAGGTACGCGACCAGGGCGCTCACCTGCAGGAAGCCGGCGGCCTCCACCGCGTCGACGACGTCGTCGGCTCGGAGAGGCGTGGCGCCGTCATCCAGGACTCGCAGCATGATGGAGAAACCGTTGGCGGTTATGCATCCGGTTATTTCCAGCTCATCGCGCTGGCACTCGCGCATTCCGGAGCGGAAGAGTGCGTCAAAGTAGTCGCAGTGCTCGGCCATGCGGCTCCGGTTGACCTCGAACACGACCCCTTCCACCGTGACACGCAGATCGCGCGTCGGCGACGGCTTGCTCATTATTGCGCCGCTCGGTTCACTGCCACTGCCACCACCCCGATCGTGAAGCCACCCCGGTCATCGTGCCACCCCTCTCCTCTCACGACCCCCCAAATCATCGCACCACCCGACTCGTAGCACCGCCCCCTCTCATCACGCAACCTGGATTATGGCACCACCACGATCATCGGCATGAGCTTCCACGAGCTGGGGGCATGTGCTGGCCGACCGCTGGACCCTCGCGTTTGACCTGCTGCTGTTCTGTGCATTGGTGAGCCAAAAGCCCTGCGCTATGAATAGCACGCGTATATATAGCCACCAATGCGCAGCGAGCACTCGAATTACCACCCACAGCCCTGCCTACACCTTACACTAACAACATTGACATTACTTAATACCCAGCTGATGCACTGATGTTACACTTAAAGTGTAAGGTCGAGACAGATTTTGTTAAGGCCTTCATCCAGCATTGGATTGATCAAGGCTGATGATGATGAAATGTAAGGATTCAGTGTTGTTTTTGAAATCTCAAATATACTTTATTTAATGATTCGAGAGCCAATTTAAAATATTGCAATTAAATCTGCGAAACAGATTACATTTTACATCGTAATGCGACACGAGAGACCAGACTATGAGCAGTAAGTAACTGAAACAGAAGAGATGGTAACTCAACGGCAGGACCCATGCACGCACATCAGAGAACACAGGCACGGCTTTGCACTCCTGAGTGCTTAAACGGAATAAATAATCTCTGGGTCTGAAAACATGGAGCCTGCCAAAGACCTTGCTGGATATAACTTCGTAAAATGTAAAAACTAAAAATAATAATTAAACCATAAATACATTTAGGCATGCCAAGAAATAATCCTGGTCTCCGATGCGTTTGCTGGTTGCACTGCACGCTGGTCGGAATGGTGTTCAATGTCTCGCGCTGGGAGCTTGTTCAGCAACCGCTTTCGAAGCTCTTGACGGAGCAAAACGTCGGGGACACCGTTCCGACCAACGTGCGGTACAACTAGAAAAAAAACACATCGCAGAGCTACACAACAGTTTAACCGTGGAAACCTAGATAGTGCCAGAACCGCCCATCTGTTTTTTACGGATATCGAACTTGGGATTGCCAAGCGCTGTCAAGCCGAAGGAATGCTGGGCCTCTTAAGGTCTGAGCGCCTAAAGAAGATATCTTGCTGGTAGGCCTTGTACTCCGCCAAGTCCAGCTGACTCGAGGCCGTCCTGATGTCGTTGTGAATGGCGTCAATGAGGTCGTCTGTTGGGAAACATAAACATTTGCCACGCTCGCGTTAGCATTGGTACTCAACTCCTGTTCACACCCCCAAGCATGGCGGGGGCAAGTCTATCTCTATGGGAACCATTGTTGACTTTGCCATAAGAGTGGCAATATTTTTTTAATAAATTTCTAAATCAATGGTAAAGCACCCAGGCCTCCAACAACAACAGCCGCAATTTGTCACAAAGTGGTGGTGACGTAACCACTGTGCTTGTTCCAGGCCAGGTGCACGCCCGAGATCACGTGAAGTGTCGAAGGCTCACTGGCAGGGCACGGGACAGACTCAGGTGCCATGGGTTGACTGACTGAGATGACTGGCCGATGCACCACCTTAGGCCCAGTGGCTTCCCTACCCCCACGCCCCCCCCCACACACAAACACACAGAGGAGGATCTCTCACTGTCGCACCCAGGGAGTCGAATCCTGTCTCCGCACGGATGTAACCAAGGATCACAATGCTCAGCACCTCGCCGTAGAAGTCCTCCTCAAAAGAGTGGATGATGTGCACCTCCTGCGACACAGGAAGATATACGCACGCGTAAGGTCAAAAGTGCAGCCCTGCAATTTCTTGACTAAATTCACTGCTGGTGGAAGGGCCTCCACTAGAGGGAACTCCACAGAGCACCACTAAAGGGTATTGTTGCCTACTCTGACAGTCTTTGTTTGCTTGTTGTAGTACGGAGTTAGAATGATGGCTTTACTATAAGTTGTCTTGTGGTTGTTGTTGTTGTTTGACTTGCATCCCACTGGGATTTTTGCACAGCGTTGGTGTACGGTGCTTTTTTTCTGGAAGACTGCAATTTTTTCCTGGATTTTCAGTTTGCGTATAGTCACTTTAATTTGTTTTCTTGTTCATGTTTTTGTTTTTTGTTTGAGTGCGGTTGCACCCGATTCAAGAGCTGAATAGCTCACAGGGCTATACCTAATAAATGAAACTGAAGAGGTAGGCAGCACCAACACTTTGCCTCACAACACCTGAGCATTGTTTGACCGGTAGCACCACGAGGTGGAATGGAACCTGCGACCTCTGAATTGCAAGTCGAAGATTCTCACCGTTACACCCTAGCAGCATTGATGATGGTGAACGAAGATGATGTATGTAACAAACACGCGTGTGCCACGTGTAATTACGGGGCGTGCAGGGAGATGCGGCGAATGCCAGAACGATCCGATAGACGAATCGCGTGAGCGAGGGAGGGAGGGGACGTGCCCAGAGGCTCCGCTCACCATGGACTTCTTGGTGTTATTATAGAACGGGTTCCAGCCGATGCTCATCACCATCTTGTGCACATCTCCGCTGCCCACGCACGCCCAGCCAAAGTAAATTCCCGTGGCCACGTCCGCCGGGAGCTGCTCCACCACCGGCTCGGGGAGGTTCGCTGCGAGGTGAAGAGATGAGCAAGGGATCTTTGAGCATATTCATCACGACAACAACAATAATAGCAACTCAACAAGAACACCTCAACTCAGCACCCCCAACACTGCACACAAACCTCACATCCACTCAACACCCTCTAAATGCCCAACAAGGTGGCATCATGGCCCACGAACGCCCCGCAGTCACAGAGCGACTGTGGACATAAACCCTGTCACAACATACTCTTTGTTTTTTCGGTAAAGTCACGTAGGTAAAACAAAATAAACCCCACTTGATACAGTAATTTTGCTGCGACGGTGCCACCTGAAGACGGAAGCTTGTGTTACCTCCGAAACGTCGTGATTTAATTAATTTCTATTTTATTTTTTACCTACGTAACTTTCCCGACAAAAACAAAGAGTATGGACCCTTGCAGTCACGAAAACTTCTAATCTATAATCCTGTCACAACACCCTAATCAATACGCCTAATATCCCGAAGCATGACGTTAACACCTCAATACAACACCCGAATTCAACAGCCCAAAACACTTTCCTAACACCCCAATACAACCGACTAACCACTCGCGCAACATCTCAAAACACTAAACCACTCAACACTCGACTCAGTAATCCAACGCTTCGTCATGCAACGCAACACGTTAGAAGCCAAACCCGACACATTGACAACGACCCCTGTACTCAAACAATGACCACAACACTCGATTCCAGTGTCCATCACTCAATGTCAGAGGGGGAGGGGCACTATCGCCGATAAGACATCATCAGTGTGAGGGCCGCCACACATTTGAAACCATTGGGGTTTGACCGCAGCACGATGATGTTGGGGGTGTTTTCACATCTGCTGTAGTATTGCCAGGGGCCGCACTAAAGGCCACCAGGGGCCGCCAGTGGCCCGCGGGCCTTGCCATGGAGACCGCCGCCGCTCTATTCGCAACAACCTTGCCGCTGTGCACCCCAAGCCAAGCCCCCTAAAACAAGCACTCTCACCGCTACACCAACCCGAAAGGCCCCCCTACCCCTGGGTCCCCCTACCCGTGACCCCCTACCCGTGACCCCCCTTACCCGTGACCCCCCTACCCGTGCCCCCCTACCCGTGACCCCCCTACCCGTGTCCCCCTACCCGTGACCCCCCTACCCGTGACCCCCCTACCCGTGCCCCCCTACCCGTGCCCCCCCCTATCCGTGCCCCCCTACCCGTGCCCCCCTACCCGTGGCCCCCCCTTACCCGTGGGTATGCCGAGCTGCTTGCTGCCTCTGCCGAAGCCCTTCACCACCTTGCCGCGGCACCAGCACGGGAGGCTCTTCATGGCACGGCGACCCCTGGGGAGAGAGGCGAGGTCAGCTCCGAGGTGAAAGGAGGGGGGGGGAGGTCAAGGGCGAGGTCACGGGGTCCAGGGGTCACGGTAAATAGGTCACGGGACGCGCGTCGGCGCCGAGTCACGCACGGGGTGGGGGGGGAGGAGCTACGGGAAGCCGGGAGTCACGTGGGTCACGGCGCCACTTCCTGTAAAGAGCGCCCCCGGAAGCGGAAGTTCGTGGGGAGGAGGGAGCGCGGGATTCCTGACGTCATTCACGATGGCGGTGAGGACGGAGCGGGAGACGTGGGGAGAGAGAGGGGAGAGAGGAGAGAGAGAGATATAAGGGGATGGGGAGGGAGACGGCGAGACACGGGGACACGGGGACACGGGGAGGGAGCCGGAGAGACACGGTTACATGGGGAGGGAGGGAGGGGGACATGGGGACAGAGTGAAACAGAGACACCGGGACAAGGGGACGGAGAGATACACGTGGGGACACGGTGGACACATGGGGGGGGGGGACACATGGGGACACGGAGACACATGGGGGGGGGACACATGGGGGCACGGGGACACATGGGGACACGGGGACACATGGGGACACGGAGACACATGGGGACGGAGAGACATGGGGACACATGGGGACACGGAGACACATGGGGACGGAGAGACACTGGGACGGTGTGGGAGGGGAGAGTCGCGTGGAGACGGGGACGTCTCCATGTCCCCGTGTGAACGTCCATTCGGGCATGTAAAGAGGAAGACGTTGAATGAGACCTGTAGTAATGTGGGAGTAGGGATACGTAGACACGGTGCATGAAGACACGGGGATATGGCAACATGGACACGTGGGGTGGGGGGGTGGTCTGGGGACATTGGTACATTGAGATGTGTAGTACTGCACTGTAATGGGGAGCTGAAGGTATGGGGATAGAGACACGGGTACTGACTCTGACGCGTGGTTGCCTGCTTACATTCGGACAGGGGTGTACATGGAGGCATGGGAACTTCGGGCCCAGCATCGAGACATGAGGACATTGAGCCAGTGAGCCCTGGGAACACAGATCTAGAGTTCTGAATACATGGGGGGCATTGCCATAGGGAGAATGTTACTTATGGGGAGCTGCGGGCATGGTAAAATGAAACATGGCTTAATTTGTGGACGTGGGGTAATGTGGACCTCGGGACCCGAAGACAAGAGGGGCATAGAGACATTGGGGGGAATGGGACCATGGGGACACGGAGACCTTGTGACCATGGGGATGTGGATGCATGGAAACTATGTAGACACGATCAGGAACCACAACATGGGGGGGGGGGGGGACGCTGGGATCTGGAGACATGGGTTACGCATCGTGGTGGAACTTTGGATACGGGGGGGGGGGGGGGTGGCTGGAAGGGATCTCCGCGAGCGGTGATCCTAACCGCGCTCAGGGGGTGACCTCGCGTGCTTTGTGTGCCCTCAGGACAAGGAGAAGAAAAAGAAGGAGAGCATCTTTGACCTGTCCAAGTACCTGGACAAGAGCATTCGCGTCAAGTTCCAGGGCGGCAGGGAAGGTGCGTAATCTTGAGTTCGCTTACTGGTTTGTTGAATGGAAAAAAATCAAACTCGATGCGTTCGTCAATAACGCTGTGGCCTCAAAGTAAATATATAATACATAGGCGACGTTTCAGGCAATGGCCCTTAATAACAGATCAGAGCGATAGTGGACAAAGGGTTGAAGATGGCACTTTACAGCTGGGGCTCAAATGAGAATTGCAATTTTTTTTGTATTTCTCTTTTGTCACTTAGACAAAATGTTGTTGCTAGGTAAACACAAAGAGTTGCTAGATTACGTTAGTTGGTGATGCTGCTTCTGGTGGCAGTGGTGCACAACCACAACAAAGAAACTCAACACATTTACCACTTATACTGTGGCCTTTACAGGAAAATTATATAATCAGAGACGTTTCAGGGAACGGCCCTTATTCATGCGCTGTTGCACGGAACGTAAACGGGTATATTAATTTTAATGCATTGTCATTGGCAAAGTTACTCGATCTAGTGACAATCGCCAAGTTGCCAACACTGATCGGTGCTTCGGGTGTCTCCCCCCACAGCCAGTGGCATGCTCAAGGGATACGATCCGCTCCTCAACCTGGTGCTGGATGGCACTATCGAATATCTGCGAGGTGGGTGGCCCTGCGACACATCTTATTATCGACATATGGGTTGTGCTAAGTGATTGTTGGTGCTGGTTAGTAATGTCGCAGTGGTAATGAATGTTGCTGAATAGTGATGGTGGTGGCGATGCAGGGCAGTGCTGCTGAATGGTAAATGTATCGAGCCTGGGTGGTCCTGGTGGTGCTCCGCATTTGTGACAAGTGGCGGTAACGAGTGGCGGTGGCGTAGTTGTGACGGTGGTGGGTGTCGTCGGTGCTGAGTGGTAGCGGTGTCGGGGGCTGGTGGAAACAGTGTTGGTGGTGGCATTAGTGGTGTTGCGGTGTTGTTGTTGGCGACACACAGACCCGGATGACCAGTACAAGCTGACGGAGGACACGCGACCGCTGGGCCTCGTTGTGTGTCGTGGAACGTCCGTGGTGCTCATCTGTCCCCTGGACGGCATGGAGGCCATCCCCAACCCCTTCGTGCAACAGGACGGCTGACCTTGGGTCATCTCGGGCGACCCCTTGAGTAACCCATGGATGACCCCACATCCTGCAAGCTCGGTCAACGTGCGATGGAGGCGTCATTTCTTAGCCGTCGTGGTGTCAGTGTTGCCCGTCGATGGGTAGCCCGCGGTGCGTTTGCATGGAAATAAATGAGACGGGGGACTGGTTTTGTAATAAAGTTGATTTTAATGTTTTTTTATACTTGCGAACCACCAAGTGTTGTCGGAATAGTCGTACTTTCCCTGAGTTACTCCTACCATTGTGGTTTTAATAAGGTAGCGCTGTGTCGTGAGCAAAACTCGCTATACCTCTAATAAAACACCTCCCACGTGGCTGCTGACTTTTCGTACATTTATAGGGATCTGTACTTGCAATTGTAAACAAATAAAAAGCTGAACCGTTTTTTTAAGTCATTCAAACTCAACACAATTTGTCTGTCACTTGGTGATGCTGAACAGTGTTTTTTTGGGACTGAACGATAAGTCGGGAGTGTTTATAGATCAACCCCAATGCTTTATTGTGTAACGGTCGTGAGCACAGATTATGATTAAGCCATCCGTGGAAACCAAACCCAATAGTAAAAGGTACTCAAAACCAAACTCCCATCTAACGCGACTACCATGGGTACTGTTCCCATGAGCTACACTTATTGATTCCCCCACCCGTGTTGAGGACTGTCTACCAGACACTGTTTCATCTCATCCACATTGTTCACCACCAGACACTGCAGGTCACCTCAATTATCTTTCTGCTTCTTCCCTCGCCTCATCGTCCCTTCTCTCAAAAGCTCTTTATTCAAGTAGAACTGAATCTTGTTGAAGGAAGTCACCCCCCCCCCCCTATTGGCGAAGCTATTATGGCCATAGTGCAATTTGGCGAGAGCGACCGAGTGACGTGAAGTCGGGCCCCGCCACTCGTGCTCGCCTACACACCAAGGCGCTGTTGTTGCCGAGCCGCCCTCTGGCCCCCGGGGATTCCTGCTAGCCCAGGGACGGCACTAACCCCATCTCGGGCGCACTGGTCTTGATGAGCGCCTGCACGGTGCGGAAACTGGGGTGGTCTTTGTCGGCAACGAGTTGCAGCAGCACCGCCTCGCTTGTCGTCACTATCACCCCGGCCTGAGACAGCCTCTGCGAGACAATGCGGACACGCACGGCGGACAGGTGTAAATGTGTGTAAACGCACGGTTACACGGGTGAAAGCAGTTACCCGGGTGCAAGCAGTTACCCCGGTGCAAGCAGTTACCCCGACACGCGAACACGCACAAATGCAAAACATTTGGGCAACCAGTTACCTAGGGCTGAAGATGTTCAAGAACCTTTTTGGTGGGACACATTAAGATACCAAGGGGTCGTCCAATACCAGCGCGCGTGCCGAGTGTAAAGAGGCCATTGGAGTGACTTAGCACTCCAATGGCCTCTTTCCCCCCTCTCACCTTTCCCCACAGGCAGTGTGTCCCGTTATGCAGTCGGGTAAATCGTGCGTGCCAACGAGCAAAGTGTAGGTCTTCTATGCGCCATCGGGTTTTAAACCACGTGCGCACTGATAATTGTTTTTTTACCCTTCTATCTGGCAACAAAACTGACACCTTTTAACAAGGAGTCATGTTTGCATAGACCGCAATACCTGCAGTCATAATACAAACAAAAGAACATAACTCTGATAATGTGCACTGTCCTTGAAGTTGATTGGTCCACACCCGAGACAGCTTTCCTGAGAGCCTAGTCTCACATGGGTTGGACCAGAAGACGCCAAAAGGCGCACAACTCAAAGACAATGCACCATCAGAGTATGAGAGCTCGGGGCAAACATCTACACTATGGGGACCTCATTTGCCAGTAAAAAGGTGTCAGTTTTGTTGCCAGAGAGAAGGGTAAAGAACCAATTATCATTTTTACTGGCAAATGAGGTCCCCATAGTGTAGATGTTTGCCCCGAGCTCTCATACTCTGATGGTGCATTGTCTTTGAGTTGTGCGCCTTTTGGCTCATCTGGTCCAACCCATGTGAGACTAGGCTCTAAGGAAAGCTGTCTCGGGTGTGGACCAATCAACTTCAAGGACAGTGCACATTATCAGAGTTATGTTCTTTTGTTTGTATTATGACTGCAGGTATTGAGGTCTATGCAAACATGACTCCCTGTAAAAAGGTGTCAGTTTTGTTGCCAGATAGAAGGGTAAAAAACCAATTATATTTTACTGGCAAATGAGGTTCCCATAGCACGTGCGCACTGTTTGGCGCAACATTCGACGTTTCGCTCCACGTGCTGGAAGGAGCTTCTTCGGTCACGGCACGTGGAGTGACACGTGGTTACACGTCGAGTGACACGTGGTTACACGTCGAGACCCAATGGGAGAACTGCAACGTCTCGCATCGCGCGCTCTCCCTTTACGATGGCGGCGGCAGCGGCTGGCGGACAGTCGACGGTCAGTGGACGGACAGTGAGCGGACAGTGAGCGACCCGTGGGCGAGGAGCGGCGCGCAGCGAGAGACCTGCAGTGCGAGCAGCCGGTCGGTCTGGCTGCGTGACGACGTCGCGTCGCCCACCACGTGCACCACGTGCACCTCGTAGCCCCTGGCCGTCAGCTCCAGGGCCGTCTGCTGGATGCACACGTGCGTCTGTGACGGGACACGCGCGCACAGTGGTAGTGTCAACTTGTATACAGTTACATTCGTGGAGGGAGTTTGGAGAACATGGGCAGGTTAATGACATCATCCCGTACCTCCGAAAGAAGTTCAACATACATCACCTCACCACAACCGATAATCTGGTTGAATCACAGCCTCGTCTATGCGAGTCTTTCGGTCTCTATATGGGTCGTGTTGATGACTCGGTTACACTTTGTCCTCCGTGTACTTAACTTCTCATTGGCCCTGCTTGGCCATGAGCCAAATTCAGACGCCTTTTAGTGAGGCCCAGCATAGCACGATTTGGTTTGGCTCGGCACAGCCAAGGGTCCTGCGTTACTAATTGAACCCTTGCTAATTGGCTGTGTCGGGTTTAACGACGCATTTTTTTTATTTACGCGATCTAACCCAAAAAACCTCTTATGGCTCTGTGCCCCAGTGGAAACGGGGTTTACGATTCTCACCTCGACGCCAAAGAGAACCACGCTGCGGACTGCCCTGAGCTCCCCCAGCAGCAGAGCCTCCACCTCGGGCACCAGCATGGAGAAGCGGGTCTTGGGGAGGACCGCCCTGGCGCCAGCGAGGTTTAGCTCCGGCACGGTGCTGCCCAGGCCCCTGGGGTACTGCTCAGTCACCACGATGGGGACGTCCAGCTCCCGCGCGCCCCCTATCTGCGGCGTCGAGAGGGATGGTGGGGAGAGACAGCTCAAGCTGGGCACAGCTCCGACAGCTGCACGACTCACGACTGCTCAGCATTGCTCAGAACGCGACTGGCACCGCTTACCGTCCTCGGCATCGCTTGGCATTTCTCAGCGGCCACTCGGAACCGCTCAGTATCGCTAGGCACCACTCAGGTCAGGACAGCTCAGCACAGCATCGCTGGGCACAGCTCGGGAACACTCAGCATCGCTGGGCACAGCTCGGGAACACTCAGCACCGTTCGGCACCGCTCAGTGCGGCACAGCTGAGCACCCACCAGTCTCTGCGCCACCAGCGCGACCTCGCCGAAGAACTTGACGGCAGGGCGGAACCGCTCCTGCATGTCGCAGCAGAAGAACGCGGAGCTGTGCGGCTCCAGCAGCCCCAGAGGTCGAGACGCCTGCGAGTGAACACGAGTCACAAGGGAGCAAAACTCGCGCGCACACGCGTCGATTCTGTAGCGCTCTCTGAACACGCGTTTATCATGTAAAGTATTTAATTGTTCATGGCACGAGACGCGCAGGCAGAACGTGACACACACGAGTTCCCGTGTGACACACACACGAGTTCCCGTGTGACACACACACTACCTGCCCCCGTGCGACACACACACACACACACCTGACCCCGTGTGACACACACACACACCTGCCCCCGTGTGACACACACACACACCTGCCCCCGTGACACACACATACACCTGCCTCCGTGTGACACACACACACCTGCCCCCGTGTGACACACACACACCTGCCCCCGTGTGACACACACACACACACCTGCCCCCGTGTGACACACACACCTGCCCCCGTGTGACACACACACACCTGCCCCCGTGTGACACACACCTCTCCCCGTGTGACACACACACACTACCTGTCTCCCGCCAGACAGAGGCACCGCCCTGAGCCTGCAGGGCGCCTCGATGCTCATCTCGGGACCCGCGTCCACGAAGCTCCCCCACTGCTCGCTGTAGAGCTGCACGGCGAAGTCCCCGCGCAGCGCCGCCTCCTGCTCCCGCTCGCCGGCGAACGCGCTCCGGAACGCGGCCCGAGACTCCTCCAGCCCCGCGCCGCGAGACAGCGGCGCCACCCGGGCCCGGTCACCCACACACAGCAGCGCGCTCAGCTGCGAGGACATGGCGAGACGGACGGCTTCACCGCCACTAGCACTCACTCACTCACTGCTGCTGCTGCTGCTCACCACTGTGACACTCACTGCTGCTGCTCACCACTGTGACACTCACTGCTGCTGCTCACCACTGTGACACTCACTGCTGCTGCTCACCACTGTGACACTCACTGCTGCTGCTCACCACTGTGACACTCACTGCTGCTGCTGCTGCTCACCACTGCCACACTCACTCACTCACTGCTGCTGCTGGTCACCACTGCCACACCCACTGCTGCTGCTCACCACTGACACACTCACTGCTGCTGCTGCTCACCTCTGCTACACTCACTATTATTCCTCACCACTTCTCACCGTGACACTCACTTCTGCCTACTGATCACTCACGCTTGCTGGTTCTCACTGGCGCCTGTGCTGCTTACTACGAATACCACTGCTCGCTGGTGCTCACTATTCCTCACCACTCCTCACTGATGCGGCTCACCACTGCGCCCACCCTGACCCCTCCCCACCCTGACCCCACGCTGAGCCTCTGACCCCTGACCCCATCGCGTCACCCCCCCCCTCCCACAACGCACGTGGGGATGTCGCCGCCCCCGCCGCGTGCTTCAAAAACGCTTCCGGGTCGCGCGAGACTCTCGCGAGACTCTCGCGAGATCCTGCACCGGCCAAGATGGCGGCGCTGTGTCGGTACTCACAGGTGGCGTGGGGACGGGGTGAGGGCGAGGGGTGAGGGGACGGGGCGAGGGGTGAGGGGACGGGGCGAGGGGTGAGGAGTGAGGAGTGAGGGGACGGGGTGAGGGCGAGGGGTGAGGGGACGGGGTGAGGGGTGAGGGCGAGGGGTGAGGGGACGGGGTGAGGGGTGAGGGCGAGGGGTGAGGGGTGAGGGCGAGGGGTGAGGGGACGGGGTGAGGGGTGAGGAGTGAGGAGTGAGGGGACGGGGTGAGGGCGAGGGGTGAGGGGACGGGGTGAGGGGTGAGGGCGAGGGGTGAGGGGACGGGGTGAGGGGTGAGGGCGAGGGGTGAGGGGACGGGGCGAGGGGTGAGGAGTGAGGGGACGGGGTGAGGGCGAGGGGTGAGGGGACGGGGTGAGGGGTGAGGGACGGGGTGAGGGGACGGGGTGAGGGCGAGGGGTGAGGGGACGGGGTGAGGGGACGGGGTGAGGGGCGAGGGGTGAGGGGACGGGGTGAGGGGTGAGGGGCGAGGGTGAGGAGTGAGGGGCGAGGGTGAGGGGTGAGGGGCGAGGGTGAGGGGTGAGGGTGAGGAGACGGGGTGAGGGGCGAGGAGTGAGGGGTGAGGGGTGACGGGCGAGGGTTAAGAGTGAGGAGTGAGGGGCGAGGGGCGAGGAGTGAGGGGTGAGGGGACGGGGTGAGGGGTGAGGATGAGGAGTGAGGGGCCGAGGGGTGAGGAGTGAGGGGTGAGGGGACGGGGTGAGGGGTGAGGAGTGAGGGTGAGGGGCGAGGAGTGAGGGGCGAGGGACGAGGTGAGGGCACGGGGTGAGCTGCGGGGGTGAGGGGACGGGGTGAGGGGGTGGCGACAGGGTGAGGAGGGGTGATGTGAGGGTGAGGAGATGTAGTGAGACGATATAAGGTGATCGGCGAAAGGTGAGTGGTGAGGGGATAAGGTGAGATGGGTGAGGAGACAGGGATGAGTGGATACGATTGAGCGTTCGGGGTATGAGAGGTGAGGGTCAGTGAGTGAGGGGATAAGGGTGAGTGAGGGGATAAGGGTGAGTGAGGGGATAAGGGTGAGCGAGGGGGTAAGGGTGAGCGAGGGGATAAGGGTGAGCGAGGGGCTAAGGGTGAGCGAGGGGCTAAGGGTGAGTGAGGGGATAAGGGTGAGCGAGGGGATAATGGTGAGTGAAGGGGTAAGGGTGAGTGAGGCTGTGTCAGAGGCTTAAGCGAGTGGGGTGTGACCTGGGGCGAAGGGTGAGGATGCGTTGACTGCGGTTTAAGGTGAAGGTTACGAGTGATGCCTCGGGGGTGATGACGGGGTCAGGGTTGGGGTTTATAGGGAGGGGTGTGGGTGGGGTTGGTGAGTCGGTGAGACCGACTCACCAGGGTGGGGGGTGGGTGAGGTTACGTCTACGACAGCACGGGGGTCACGCACTGTCTGGGGGACTTGAGTGGTTCGCGCGCCGCGCTACGAACCCGGCGACTTTGGTTCGGTTCCCGCTCGTGGCCAACATCGGTGGCGAATATCTGACCCGTGCAGTGTAAAACAATAAAACATCAGCACTGGGGGAGATAAAGGCGGCTATGCCCCCCCCCCGCTCCCCACCACCTCGTGCGCGGTGCCGACTACGGCCTCACGAGCACCACGTGCACCCAACAGTCCTTGTGAGCTTCACGGGGGGGGGGGGGGGGGGGGAGTCAAGAGCCGCATGGCTCACAGGGCTCACAGGGCTATACCTAATACATGAACTGAACTGACCTTTCTAGATTTGAAGTTTTCGTGACTGTAAGGATCCCTACTCTTTGGTTTTTCGGTAAAGTCACGTAGGTAAAAAATAAAGATTTATTTATTTTTTACATTTATTTGTTTTCATTTTAATTTATTTTATTTTATATGTTTTAGCTACGTGACTTTACCGAAGAAACCAACGAGCATGAACTGACCTTGTCTTTCTTGTTGCAGCAGCAGTGCGTGTACAGGAGAAGGCTTCAGGCGCTGCCCAGCCTCTGCGCCACCGCCGCACAGCGATGTGGGCACGAGCCGGCGACGCGCCCCCCGGTGCTCCAGCACGCGCAGGTGAGGGCAGCCGCGGTCCCCGCGATCATTGTCAGAGGGGGGTGAGTGAGGGGGTAAGGGTGAGTGAGGCTGTCAGAGGCTTAAGCGAGTGGGGTGTGACCTGGGGCGAAGGGTGAGGATGCGTTGACTGCGGTTTAAGGTGAAGGTTACGAGTGATGCCTCGGGGGTGATGATGGGACGGGGTGAGGGTTGGGGTTTATAGGGAGGTAGGAGTGGCACTTTCACCGATGAGGCATCATCATCAGTGTGAGGGCCGCCACACATTTGAAAACATTGGGGGTTGACAGCGCCTTGATGGTGATGATGGGGAGTGGGGGTGTTTTCACATGTTGTGTATTGTCGGGGGCCGCACTAAAGGCCAGCATGGGTTTGGTAATTGCACTTGCTTCATAGCGGCGAGGAATCTCCCCCAGTGACGAGCTCGCATCTGGCTCCAATTCCAAATGGCTCACATGGTAGAGCCTGAACAGACTGAGTGGATTTTGGCAGATGCAACTCTCTCGACCAATGCGCTTGTGAGGAGAGGCAAAACCACATGGATCGTCTCCCTGAGATGTCCTGCAGCACCATAATGTGCTCCTCAAGATTTGGCAAATGCCAACACCGGAAGCCTGTGCAGAATATTGGGAAAGACGAATATCGGTTGGACAGGAGACACGACAAGAAGATTGGATGATTTCATGTTGTCGAGAATGGAGGATCCATTACACACGTTATTGAATACATTGCCGATCATGAAGGATATACGAATAAGTTAAATGAGAACTGCTTTAACATTGACATCTGTCAAGTGCAGGAGAGGGGGACTGGGTGCGTGTACTTTTGTGTGCCCTATGCTTGGTCAATGTACTTGTCTGTCGTGTACCTGAGTGCAGAGTCCTCGTGTGCCATGCACCTTGTGTCGCGTGCTTGTTGTTACGTGTACTCTCCGGCCGTGTGCTTGGCTGATGCTCTCGGCTGCGGTTCTGCCCTGCCACAGGGGAACGCGTACTCCACTGGAGGGAGAAAGGGATTCTTTTCGGAGTTTTTTGACAACATTAAGCAGGACATGACAAAGAATAAAGAAATGAAGGAGAGTCTTAAAAAGTTCCGGGAAGAGGCGAAACGACTCGATGAGTCTGATGCCCTGCAACAGGCGAGGAGGAAATACGTGAGTATGGATCACGCATGCCGCACAGGCACCGCAAACACACAGGCACACTCACACTGCACAGAGACACATGGAAACCACAAGCATATGGACACACACCACACAGACATGCAAACAACACACAGAAACACGGACACCATGGGCACATACATACACTCACACAGGCACCACACGCACACATGCAAATAACACAGACACATGGAGACCACAAACACACGGACACTGTGGGCACATAATACTCACACAGGCACCACACACACATGCAAGCAACACACGGACACCATGAACACACAGGCACCATAAATATGCATACACGACAGACAGACACACACAAACAGATATCATGAATATGCAAACATCGGAAAACAACCACACGGACACTGTGAGACATGTCAATTCCACTGTTCTGTCCGCCACTGCCTGCTGTTTCCGTCCGTCTAGAAAACAATCGAATCGGAGACGTTGAAGACATCGGAAAAGCTTAAGAAGAAGATGGAGGAGCTGTCGGACACCGTGAAGGAGGTGCGAGGCGAGCCGGGATGACGAGTTGCGTCGATTTGTCGACTCAAAGCTAGAATCGACGCCTTGTTTGTGGTGGATCATTCAGCCTCTTTCACCAACTGTTGGCATGTTATTAGATTCGCCTGTGTGTGTGTGTGTGAATGTGTGTCGATGTATGTACGTATGTTGAACTTCTTTCACTCCGTACTTAGCCAACCATGCTAATCGGATGAGCGGGGGAAGGACAAAAAACTAAAGACCAAAAGAAATTAGTTTTTAACCGAGATGTAAAAGTGCATAGCTCCAGTGGCTTCCTAATATTGGAAGGAAGAACATTCCAGACAGCGGAAGAAGCGCATCTGAAAGTTCACGATATGCAGTGACCATCTTTGTTCAATGGTTAGCCTTGTGTGTATGTTGTGTCTTGTGTGTATGTTGCGTGTGTGGTTGTACGACAGAGCAGTGAAGAGGTGGTTGTATGATGGTGGTGTAGCCCTGTACATGTGTGTGTGCGACTATGCCACAGGGCTTTGAGGAGGTGGGTGTATGTCAGTGCGTGTATGAATGTGTGTTTTGTTATTGGGGAGCGGTGGAACAGTGGTAAGAACACTGCGCTACGAACCCGGAAACCTGAGTTCGATTCCCGCTTACAGGCAACACCAATGACAATTATCTTAACCAGTCCTGGGCCTCCCCTAGGTTGACGAATCCTCATATGAATATGTGGGCGTTGTGTAAACACATTCACCGCTTGGGAACACAGGCAGCCGGGAATGCCATTGGCCACCTATCATGTCGTGTGCCGTGCCGGCCTTCATAGGCGCTGCTAGCATGCAGCACTTGCCCCAAAAGTCTGTTTAAGGCTATATGGGGATCTTTGTGTAACTGTGCCGTAGGGCTTTGAGGAGGTGGGTAAGACCGATATTGGGAAGAGGCTCAAGGAGGGAGTGGAGGGAGCCGCCCGCACTGCCAAGGACTCTGCGCAGTCCGTGTCGCGGAGCGGGGAGATGCTGGGGAAGACGTCGGCATTCCGCGCAATCTCGCAGGTACTGGCGGCATCACACCCGACGTCACACCCGACATCACACCCGACGTCACA